CAGCCTGGATGGAATATGGAAAACAGAGAGAGGGAAAGCTCTTGGTGAGATGAGATGGAGGCACTAGATCAGGTAAGGCCTTAAAGGACACAGTAACGACGTTGGATTTTATGCTAATTATAATTGGAATCCATTTGAGGATTTTACTAAGGAAAGATAGGATCTTCTAAGATCACTTTTGCCGCTGCATGCAGATAGGCCACATAGGTGGAGGGGATGGTTCAGGTGAGGAAAGCTTGTATCAGCATGGAACTATAACCACAGAGGCAGTATGATTTAGGATGTATTTCTGGAGGTCGCCCCCCACTAATGGATTCGATGTAAATGAGGGGAAGAGAATTGAAGATAACTCTTAGACCTTTGCCTGAGCATATCGGTTGATAATTGTGCTATTTATTGAAATGGCAAAAGTTCAGAGTGAAATAATTTTGGGCACTGGTAAGCAGAGATCAGCAGGCCCATTTTGGCCATGTTAACTTGAAGGTTTCTATGAGATACCAAGTAGGAATGTCTAGTAGTCATTTAAAGATACTGGTCTGCACTCAGGATCAGAAGCCAGACTAGAGACAGAGACATGAGAGTTACCAGCATACAGTTTTTATTTAAAGCTACAGAGTTAGGACACCTGGGTGGCTCAGTTGCTTATGTGTCCAACTCTTGTTTCAGCGCAGGTCATGATCTCAGGGTTGTGAGATCAACCCCCATGTAGGGCTCTGCACTGAGAGTGGAGCCTGCTTAGAATTCTCTCTCAAAAAAGAAAAAATTCTCTCTCTCTCTCTCTCTCTCTCTCTCTCTCTCTCTCTCTCCTTCTCCCTCTGCTCTTCCCCCTGTTCACAGTCTCTCTCTCTCTCTCTCTCTCTCTCACAAAAAAAAAAAAAAAAAGACACCTGGGTGGCTCGATGGTTGAGCATCTACCTTCGGCTCAGGGCATGATATTCAGGTTCTGGGATGGAGTCCCACATCAGGCTCCCCATGAGGAGCCTGCTTCTCCCTCTGCCTATGTCTCTGCCTCTCTGTGTGTCTCATGAATAAATAAATGAAATCCAAAAAAAAAAAAGGCAACATAACTGAATGGAGAAAAGTGTAGATAGAGAAGACAAGAGGCCCTGAACCAAATCCTGGATCACTCTAACACTCAAGGTAGTATGAATTACTGTTAGCAGGAGAGGAGCAAGAATTCGTGTGTGTCCATTCTTACATCCTTTTGGCCAGATCTTAGTCACACTGCCATGGCACAAAAGGGAGGTAGAAAATGTTGTAATACCATATAATTTCACTCATGTAGAATTTAAGAAATGAAACAGATGAACATAGGGGAAGGGAAGGAAAAATTAAATAAAATGACATCAGAGAGGGAGGCAAACCATAAAAGACTCTTAACTATAAGGAACAAACTGAGGGTTGCTAGAGGGGAAGTGGATGAGGGGATGGGGTAACTGAGTGATGCTCATTAAGGAAGACACTTGAAGTAATGAATACTGGATATTGTACATAACTGGTGAGTCACTGAATTCTACCTCTGAAATTAATAATACAGTGTATTTAAGTTAAATTTTAAAACTTTTAAAAAGAAGAAAATTGTCATTATTTTACATAGCCAGATGGCCACCTAAAAATACAGGTGTCTACTACTTTGAAGAGCAGGGGAATGGATGGTTGGAGTACAACTAGCATTCTCTCTGCAGAAGTTGAATACAGGAGTAGGTCCAGCAAATGAGAGTAAGAAGGAGCAGCCAGTGGGGCAGGAGTAAAACCAGGCAATTACAGCACCATGGAAGGTTAGAAAAGAAAAAGATGTAGGAAAGGAGTGGAGTAGCCAAGCCTGTAAGATGCTGTTGGAGGGTTAAGATGGAGACAGCCTTTGGGCTTTAACAAAAATGGACATTATTGGTCATCTAAACAGCCATTACAAAGGGAAAATGAGGACAAAAGCCTGGTCCTTCCCCTTCTTCACAAGGTCTAAGATGGAAACTGTGTAGAGGTCAGGAGATTCTCAGTGTATTGGGGAATGAGTTGGGACAAGAACTCCCCAGCAGGTGAGGGCCTCTCTCTTCTTGCTCTTGCTGGGGCTGATGGTCAAGGGGGCTCTTGCTCCTTGGAAGCCATGTAGACCATAAGGTTGCTGTAGCCAAATTCATTGTCATACCAGAAAATGAGCTTGACAAAGTGGTCTTGGAGAGCAATGGAAGCATCAAAGGTAAAAGAGTGGGAGTAACTGTTAAAGTTGCAGGAGACAGTTGCACTGTAGCCTAAGATGCCCTTGAGGGGACCCTCCAATGCCTGCTTCACCCACCTTCTTGATGTCATTGTATTTGGCATCTTTCTGCAGGCAGCAGGTCAGATCTATGACTGACACATTAAGGGTGGAGACACAGAAGGCTATGCCATTGAGCTTCCCATTCAGCTCAAGGATGACCTAGCCTACAGCTTTGGCAGCACCAGTAAAAGCAAGTATAATGTTCTGACCAAACCCTTGGCCATCACAGTGTTCTGGCTGACAGTGATGGCATGGAGTCATGAATCATGAGTCCCTCCATGGTGCCAAAGTTGTCAAGGATGACCTTGGCCAGAGGGCCAAGCAGTTGGTACTGCAGGAGGCATTGCTGACAATCTTGAGGGAATTGTCATACTTCTCATGGTTCATGCCCATCACAAACATGGAGGCATCAGCAGAAGGGGCAGATATGATGACCCTTTTGGCACCCCACCCTTCAAGTGAACCCCAGCCTTCTCCATGGTAAAGACTCCAGTTAACTCCACAACATACTCAGCATCACCCCATTTGATGTTGGCAGGATCTTGCTCCTGGAAGACAGAGATAGACTTTCCATTGATGACAAGTTTCCTGTTCTCAGCCTTCAATGTGCCATTTAATTTGCTGTGGGTAGAATTATACCAGAACATGTTGACCATGTAGTTGAGGTCAATGAAGGAGTCACTGATGGTGACAATATTCACTTTGCGGGCTGTAAAAGTAGCCCTGGTGACCAGGTGCCCAATAAGGCCAAATCCATTTACTCTGACTTTTACCATTGTGTCTCAGGGACAGGGCTGGTACTGAACTATAAGATGTGGCTGATGGGATCCCTGGGTGGCACAGTGGTTTGGCGCCTGCCTTTGGCCCAGGGCGCGATCCTGGAGACCCGGGATCGAGTCCCACGTCGGGCTCCCGGTGCATGGAGCCTGCTTCTCCCTCTGCCTGTGTCTCTGCCTCTCTCTCTCTCTCTCTCTCTCTCTCTCTCTGTGACTATCATAAATAAATAAATAAATTTTAAAAAAAAAAGTTGTGGCTGACTATCAAACAGGGAGAAGCAGAGAGCTTAAATTCACCACTTTATTTTTTTAAAAGATTTTATTTGGGGATCCCTGGGTGGCTCAGTGGTTAAGTGCCTGCCTTTGGCCCAGGGCGTGATTCTGGAGTCCTGGGATCAAGTCCCACGTTGGGCTCCTCTGCCTGTGTCTCTCTGCCTCTCTCTCTTTCTCTGTGTCTCTCATGAATAAATAAATAAAATCTTTAAAAAATAAAATAAAATATTTTATTTATTCATGAGAGACAGAGAGAGAGGCAGAGACATAGGCAGAGAGAGAAGCAGGCTTCCTGTAGAGAACCCAACATAGAACTCAATCTCAGGACCCCAGGATCACACCCTGAGCCAAAGGCAGATGCTCAACCACTGAGCCACCCAGGCACCCCTAAATTCACCACTTTAAAGATGGAAATGGTATAAAGAAGAGTGAACTCTTGCCATTTTTGACAACATGGGTGGACCTACAGGGTATTGTGCTAAGTGAAATGTCAGAGAAAGACAAATATCATTTGATTTCACTTATATGTGGAATCTAAAAAACAAAACAAATGAACAAACAATCAGAAACAGAATCATAAGTACAGAGAACAAACTGGTGGTTACCAGAGGGGAGGGGGATGAGGGGATGGTCAATATAGGTGAAGGGGATTAAGAGGTACAAACTTCCAGTTATAAAATAAGTCACAGAGATGAAAAGTGCAGCATAGAGAATATAGTTACTAATATTGTAATAGCATTGTATGGTGACAGATGGTGACTTCACTTACCATGATGAACATTGCATAATGTTTAGAATTGTCAAATCACTGTGTTGTACACCTAAGACTAATTTTTTTTAAGTGGGTAGGGAGAGGAGATTTTGACCCTAATTATAATGTGGCAGGCACACATACAGAGTACACTGTGGGCTGGGCTTTGTTTTGAGTGTTTTACACTTAATTCTCACAACTGTGTGGTGTCCTAAATCCAGAGATTTGGCAAATTAGTGTACAGTTATATATTTCAAATAAAATAAAATGTTAAGATCGCTGTATATTTATTATTTTTCACTTTTGCCAGTCTTGTTTGCATTAATGAAGAGGGATTTTATTATACTAACGTGCATCAATATTACATGTATTTATGTATCTATATATTGATACATATATAAAGTAGAAAAAATATGCTATTATATTGATACATATATAAAGTAGAAAAATACGTAGAGCAGTGTGTGTAGTATGGTACATTTGAGTAAAGGGAGAAATACACACACACACATAGCATTTTTTGGACTGTTCCTAAAAATTGGTAACAGTCGTCTCTAGGGTAGGGGTTTCAATGCTTAAAATCTTTCTACAATGTCATTCATGTACTTGCTAAGTAAATAGGCAATTTAACACTTCTTCAGTGATTTAATTTCTTTACAACATGTCTAGGACACTTTTAGGCAATTTCTTCATCAGAAAAATTAGCTTGACTTCTTACCATTTACCTTTTTCAGATTTAAGTTAAATTCTAAATTAAAATTCTGATAATTTGGGGGATGGGGGCGGGATAGCCAAATAATTTAATTTAAGATTATTATAAATTTACTATCAGTATTTGCCAGCATGTAAATATGTAATTGTCTACTTCAGAATTATTTGACATATGTTTAATTTTAAATCTTTAATCATATGATAGTCTTACAGTGTTTTTTATCTTTGGCAGGAACTGAAAGGTGGAAAAGCTTATGCAAAGGTAAGTAGATGTTCTTTAACTCTTTTGGAACTTATATCGCTCACTAAATAAGCTTAAAAATCAAATAGTTTGCTCTTCTAATTGCTATTCAAGTGGGTGTTTTTATTTCTTTAAGATTTTATTTATTTATTTTAGAGAGTGCAAGTGGGGGGAGGAGCAGAAGGAAAGGGACAAGCAGACTGCCTGCTGAGCACTGGATCCCAGGACCCTAGCGACCTGAGCTGAAATCAAGAGTCAGAGGCTTAACTAACTGAGCCACCCACGTGCCCCAAGTTGGCTGTTTTTAAATAAAGCAACTTGGAGATTGAACAGTTGAATCCAGCAATAAATTATAAGCACATTTTTTCTAAAAGCTGATTAGGGGATGTTATTCTTACATTTCAGCTTCCCTGCTAGAAGATGATCTCTGGTTTCCATTAAGCAGTCGCATCTGTTCATTCGGTCTCCCCTGGGAAGTATTACCAATCCCATTTCCCCCCACCCCCCAGTGGAATAGGACCTCTCCTCTGTGTGCACTTAGCGCTGTGTAATATATGACCACTACTATCCTTTATACTTTTACTAGCTATGTGGAATTTCTAATGAGTATGCTCACCTTTTTGCCAAATAGAAATAATTAGTAATACTGCCAGAAATGCACAGACTCCTCTTTTATTTTCAGTCTCTGATAGTATCTCCGTCAATTCAGTCACCTGAGCCAGGACACTAGTTTAACCATCAAGTCTACCTAACTTCCAGGGTGCCTGGGTGGCTTAGTGGTTGAGTGTCTGCCTTTGGCTCAGGGCATGATCCCTGAGTCCTGGGATCGAGTCCCCCATCGGGTTACCCCCGGGGAGCCTGCTTCTCCCTCTGCCTGGGTCTCTGCCTCTCTTTCTGTGTCTCTCATGAATAAATAAATAAAATCTTAAAAAAAAAAAAGTATGTAACTCCTTAAAACGACTTGGTTGCAGTGTCAGGTGGTCTTTGCTACAAGTAACAGAATATCCTCTTCACTTAGAGATACTTTTTTTGTTTGTTTAATTTCACAAAGCAAGTAGATAGGACACAGAGCTGCAGATGTGAGGTAGAGCTGCTCCAGGATTAGTTAATCCACTGACTGAAGGATGTCATCAAGAACCCATGTTACTTTTCTCTTTTCATTTTTCCATTCTCTGTGTGATGACTTTGTTCTTGGCTAGCTCTTCTCATTGTCACCAGATGGTTTTTTTAGTCCACACGTTCACATATGACAAAACCCAGCTGCTTCTCCATGTGTGTCTTTCTTTGAGTGAGAAAGCTTTTCCTAGTCAGCCCTCAGGATTTCCTCATACCTTTCATTGGCCACAACTGAATCATATGCCCACTTCTAAACCAGTCGTGGGCAATAGAAATGGATTGCATGGCTAGCTTAGACTAATCACAATTTAACAATGAGCTAGAGGTCGGGTTACTTTCCTTTTGCACATGGATGAGCTAAGGATGGACATTTGAATAAAATCAGGGCTCTGGGATCCCTGGGTGGCTCAGCGGTTTGACGCCTGCCTTTGCCCCAGGGCGTGATCCTGGGGTCCTGGGATCGAGTCCCATGTCGGGCTCCTGCAGGGAGCCTGCTTCTCCCTCTGCCTGTGTCTCCGCCTCTCTCTCTGTCTCTCTCTGTGTGTCTCTAATGAATAAATAAAATCTTTAAAAAATAAAAAATAAATAAAAATAAAATCAGAGCTCTGCTAATAAGGAGTATCAGAACATTGAATGATGGTGGGGAGGCAAAAGACAAGATCTTTTGTTCTTTAAGATGGTAAAAACTCTAGCATGTTTGTGAGGTAATGGGAATGGCTCCGTAGAGAAGGGAAACTAGAATGCAGAAGAGACCGAGGAATTCCTGAAGCAACAAACTTGAGTAGGCAGGAGGGAGGAGAGTGGCTGGTCAGATTGGAGTGTAGCCAGTTCATTTATAGTACTCAGGGTATAGCTGCAAGCAGGTGAATGGGTGTGGCTGACAATAAGAGCTTGTGGAAGTTAAGTGCTCTTTTGATTGCTTTTATCTTCTGAGTGAATTAGGAAGCATCAGCAGAGAGTTTGGATGAAAAGGAGGTATGCTAGAGGTTTAAAAGGAATGGGTAATGCATGAAATAGGGCCTTCAGATGATATGTGATCAAATAGCCACATGAATCTTCACAGGCTCATTGGGATGTGGCTTTTCCCTGGATACATCCAGACTTTTCTTCTGATCTGTTGGACCCCTAAAAGGCAGTAAGGCCAGAGGAGCCATGTGAAAATTAGGTAGATGTCACTGTGACCTAATATGTTCTGACTTATTATTGCATTTAGGAATCATGGCCCTTCAACTGGCCTGTAAGTTTTATTTTTCATTCTTTTTATATCAGTTAAAAGCTACTAAAATAATGCTCCAGCCTGTAGTTAAAATCTTCATCTTGAATTGTCATTCTTATGTGCCCAGTATGTGTTTATGTGTTTTAAAATCTTAAAACAGGGATCCCTGGGTGGCGCAGCGGTTTAGCGCCTGCCTTTGGCCCAGGGCGCGATCCTGGAGACCCAGGATCGAATCCCACATCGGGCTCCCGGTGCATGGAGCCTGCTTCTCCCTCTGCCTGTGTCTCTGCCTCTCTCTCTCTCTCTCTCTCTCTCTCTCTCTCTCTCTGTGTGTGTGTGTGTGTGTGTGTGTGTGTGTGAGAGAGAGACTATCATAAATAAATAAATTAATTTAAAAAAATTAAAATAAAAATAAATAAAATCTTAAAACAGGCAGCTTAATATTATAGCAGTGTTTGAGAAATGGTTAATACTTTTTATTAGGTATTCAGGGACATATGCTTAATTACAAACTTAAAACAACTTTGTTGTTTTTAATAAAAGACTCCATATGCATTTAGTCATGTAAAATGGAACAGACTTGGGATCCCTGGGTGGCGCAGCGGTTTGGCGCCTGCCTTTGGCCCAGGGCGCGATCCTAGAGACCCGGGATCGAATCCCACATCGGGCTCCCGGTGCATGGAGCCTGCTTCTCCCTCTGCCTATGTTTCTGCCCCTCTCTCTCTCTCTCTGTGACTATCATAAATTTAAAAAAAAATGGAACAGACTTAGTTTGTAAAAAAAAAAACAAAGCATAGTTCTTGTACCACTTGGAAGTGAGAAATAAGGGTTGAACAACATCGCAGGAAAGACTACAGGGCAATTTTTGGTAGCTGCAGAAAATGGGGACTGAACCTGGGTAGTAACAAGAGGGAAGAACAGGTTTGAGCTGAACTTTTGGAGAGCAGCATAGAGGGTGGCTGTGGGGCACAGCTTTGGGGAAGGGGAGAAGAAGGTTTCATAATGAGAGTTTTAGCTTAAGTGTGATCAGCAGGGCAAATGTTGTGGAAGGTGGTGAAGGAGAACAGCCTTTTACCAAAGAAAAACACGTGATGCACTTAAGTCATTCTATTTCTTGCATGGAAAGTAAAAGTTTAATAACCTGCAACTGTCTGCAGTCACCAATGGTTAACTGGGAAAGGTGCCAGAACCAGAATAGGGAGAAGAAAGTCTGATCAGTGTGCTTTATGAATTTGCAAATGACCATGATTGGTCTGCTGTTATTTTCTCCCACTGTGTGGGGTGAGTACCACTGCTACTTGCAATGATTTTAATTGTTTGATAAGCATTATTTTTATTTCAACAGTTCTATATTTCAGTATGTACAGAAAAATATATATATTTAGCACATCAAATCTGATTTCAGGGATTGCATTGCTTAAGACAAGAATAGAATAGGTAATAAATTTTTACAAAGAAACAAGCCCATCTAAAGACATGAAATAAGCAACCAGTAGAGCAGATCTTGTTCAGATGGCCAAAACTGCAGATGACTGAAGTTTGAGAGAACTTGTTTAGAACATGGATCGAATGTTCATTTTAAGGAGAATATGATGGAAGCCTAGTAGATATTCTATTAATATGATTCCCTTTCCTTTCATAGCTGGGCTTTGCAGATCTGAACCTGGCAGAGTTTGCTGGATCAGGAAATACCACCCGCCGCTGCTTACTGGAAGGCTATGATACCAAAAATACAAGGCAGGATAATTCCATTCTTAAAGTAAGCACGTTTTGAGATTTACATGTCAACGAATGAGAATCTCTGCCTGTAAATAAGCAAAGGTATATCCAGTCAAGGGCAAGATGGGAATCAGTCCTGAGATCATAGACTGACCAAGCCACTGAAATACGCACTCACCATCTAGGGGTGGAAGCTACCCAAGTCACAGGAGCAGTGAAAGGGAACAGAGGTTCGCCTTCACGATCCTAAGGTGTTTCTGGGGCTGTGAACATTCAGGGAATAGTACCTAGAATTGCTACAGCAAGGGCTCATTGAGAGAAAGGAACATGATGAGTGAAAACACCTTAGAAACATTTATCGCTCTCAAAAAGTGACTTCCCAAGCAGCTGTGGGGGGCGCAGAAAAGTAACTGGGCTCTCCTGTAACTAGCAAAGTGACACTGGAGCTCACTTTAGGCATCCGCCCTGTTGTTTCCAAGGACCATCAGCAGCTTCCTGTTCCGGGGGTGACAGAAAGAACATACACTTCAGAGTTGCTGGGGGTAGTAAATGAGACCAGTTGAAAAAATATAAGTGCCTTTTACCTAGTAAGACTCACTGGACAGACCTTTTGCTGTATTTTAGTTAGGTTACCCCATGATGGTAAGTTATGTAATGATAAGAAAGAAAAATAATTCAGAATAAAAACTGGATGGTCAGAAGTTAGTGGAGCAAAGAATGACCCTATACCTATACTTTCTAGACTTTGTTTTCAGTAAATATAACAAAAAATTTCAGAGCACTTACATATACCTGTGTGACATTAACAGTGTTGGATAGATGGGGTGGATTCTCTCCATTTAGAATAAATGAAGCAGCTGAGACTCAATGAAGTGTCTGACTAAAGTCATCAGTGGCAGAGCAGAGACCAGAATGCGTACCTTCTGCTGTGTGGTCAACAGTTGTTTCATGTTTCCATGCTGTCCAAGCACCACACTCAGAGGAACAGACTGCACTGTTCATTCTTAGACTGACCCCAAACAAGCTGCTAAATTCAGTTTCTTCATATTTGCAGTGCAAGAAGACTGGTAATCCTTCTCTGAATTATAGTATTTTCATTGGAAATTGAAATGACTTTTTAATTTCAGACTCCCCCATCCTCACCCCACTCCTTAGGGCCAACTCCTGGAGCAGTTTCTTTCTGGCCCCCCTTTGATCTTTTCACACCATCTCTCCCACGTGGTCCTACAACAAACTTTTTTTTTTTTTTTTAGATTTATTTATCTATTTTAAAGAGTAAGAGTGGTCACACATGCATGCATGAGCAGGGGCAGGTACAGAATGGAGAGAGAGAGAGAGAGAGCCTCAAGCATACCCCCACTGAGCACAGAGGCCAACACGGGACTCAGTCTCACAACCCTGAGATCATGACCTGAGCTGAAACCAAGAATTGGACACTCAACCAACTGAGCAACCCAGGAGCCCCATAACTTACTCTTGTAGATCACACCATTCTGCTCTCACATTCTCTCCCGGCCTGAGCTCTGTTATCGCCTGTCCATCTAGTTACCTCTCTCTCCTGCTCATTGATGACGTAGCTTCTGGCTCACAGTTTCTCTTTCCAGACCTTCTGTCATCATGTTTTGGTGACTTCACCATGTGGTAGGTGATCTGTCCTTGTAGACTGCCTTCTTTATGTATTCTCCCCCTCTGGGTGATCTTTTATGTGCCTGAGGCCTCTCCTTTCCTTAAACTACCCTTCTCCAGCAACTGTTTCCTTTTATTCATCTCAATTCCTCCCCCATAGCCACACTCTAGACTTTTTTACCTCTAGAAACTTCACCAGCTGAGTTCCCCTCTGCTACAGTATACTCTTATGTTTCCAGTTCTCTTGCTCTGCTACTTGCTTAGCTATCCTTCACCTTACTGCTCTCTCACTCTCTACCAGCCTCCACTTGCTTCTATTTCCCTCTTTATCCAGCTTAGATTCCAGAATCCATGATTCTCCTATGCTTAAAAATACTCCTTGCTCCTTCACCCATCTCCCTCATTGGTCTCCCCTGGCAAATCCCTGACCCCATTCAAACTCAACCGCCCTCTCTGGGACTGCATCCTAGTTGCTGAACATTGTTAGAGATCACACAACCATCCAGTTGCTGTTCCTACAGTCTTGCTCACCACCATCTAGCAACTATACTTCCTTTGTAAGCATCCTTTCCCAGTTTCTCAGATACTCTATTTTATACCTTTTTCTCCTCGCATCTCCACACACCACTCACATCTACTGTATTTAAAACAAAATCACTTCTGTCCTCCTCCAGCCACTGTCCCACTCTCTCTGTTCTGCTTTCCCACACAATTTCTTAAAAGCTGCATGTGCCATCTCCATCCCTTCTGAGACATTCAGGATATTCAAGAGTACATTTTGATGTAGTGGAAAACCAGACTGTGGAGTTCTGTGAAAGCGGAGGGGTTAAGGATGCCAGCATGTCAGGCCCAGGTCACACATGTAATAAGTGTAGCACTCAAAGAGAAAAAAAAACAGTAGTGGAGGCACTAGCGTAAAGAAATGAGGCTCTAAAGTTTACAAGTCAGCCACTAAGTAGAAAATATGCACATTATAAAAATACTCTCTTCTTCATAGAGACCATGAGTCTCAGTATTATGCAGTCCTAGTTTCCAATCTCTGCTCTGCCCTTTATAGCTCCCTGATCTTGAAAATATCACTTAATCTCCTGAGCTTAAAAGGAAAGGATCAGTCCCTCATAAGAGTTTTGAACACTGAATAAAATCATGCAGTATAAAGCATTTAGCTTATGCCTGACACATAATTAATTCTCAAATCACGAATGCTGCTAATGTTATCATTACTACTATTACCATTATTTGTCCCTAAAGAACATAACAAGATCCTATGGCTGAGTCTTAAGAGACAGTCAGCAGCTAGAGAACAGTAGCATTTCAGAAAGCATTAGCAAAGCTTTAAATTCTAAAGCTGGAGCAAAAGCCAGAAATGTGCTCTCACAGGCCACCGCAGGCACCCCGTCAAGTGTCAGCATGGCAAGGTGGAGAAAAACATTCCAGACACTTAAGCAAGCACCACAGGAAACCTGGAGGAAAGACAGAACCAAGACCAGGGCAGCATGCGCCCACAGGGCTGTCCCTAGTACAACACTTGCTCTCCATGTCCATGTTTCCCACTCCGATTTTTGCCATTACAAAGGTTGAATGTTAAAAAAATGGTTTTTAATCTGTGTCTGTATAAAGCAGCAATTTAATACTGGATGCAACCCAATTCAGAAATTGTTTTATTTAATAATCTCTGAGTAGGAAATACTGGCCTAGGTTCTGTAGAGGATGCATGGATTAGCAGAACATGGCTTCTTGTCTCAAGGGAAGTTTTATAATCATATTTCCTTCTCTAATACCCAGGTTTTGATCAGTATGCAGCTGATGTCTGGTGACCCATGTTTTAAAACGTAAGTTGATGCTCAGTAAATGAATTATTTATCTGAAATATCTGAAAATATAATAGTGATTTTTTATTTAAATTTTTACATTCATATTTTGTTGTTAACCAGTGAAGGGATGGTGCTTTTACTAAATGAGCCCCCCACATTCTTAAATTATTTAAGCTAGATCTTAAATAATCTTCATCATCATCTTCAAGTTTTGGGTGAAACAATACAAATTAAATTTTTTAATTTGACTTTGGTGGACTTAGTCATTTCTTCAACAAATACCTGTTACGTGCCTTACCATGTGTAAGGCCCTGTTATGGACACTAAAGAAACAGCAGTGAAAAAAATAGACCGAGTCTCTGACCTCTTGGAGCATATATTCTTAAGAGGAAAACAAACAACAAACTAATAAATAAATGTATAATTTAAAGATGGCAAGGAGTGCTTTGGAGAAAAATAATGCAGGGTAGGTGGACATAGTGGGGAGAAGGGTTGCTGTCTTATAGAGTAGTCAAGAAAGTCTTCCTTGGCAGAGATGGTATTTGAGCAGAGACTTGATGGGGGTGGGAAGCCATGCAGACATTTGAGGAAAGAGCATTTGAGGTAGAGGAAACAGGAGCAAAGGCCTGGAGGGAGGAGTGTGTTTGGCATGTCCAAGGAGCTGCCAGGAGACCAGTATGTCTAGAACAGAAAGAATAAGCAAGAGGGGGATAGGAGATGAGATCAGATGATAAAGAGTCTCCTAGGCCACTTATAACTTAGTAAAATAAAAAGCCACTGGAGGGTTTCAAGCAGGGGAATAAAATTATCTGACTTATTGCTGCTGGATAAAGAATAGACAATTTGTAGGAACAACAGTGGGAGCAAGGGCAGAAACAGATAGATGAATTAGGAGGCTATTTGAGTAGTCCAAGGTTTGGGGCCTGAGTAACTCATTTATTGAAATGAGAAAGCTCTAAAAGGAATAGGTTAGAGGTTGGGAACTTGGGTATTGGACATGCTCTGTTGGAGATCCCTATTAAACATCCAACCAGGCACATCAAGTAGGCAGTTGGATATAGCACTACAGAGTTCAATGGGGAGGGCCAGGCTAGAGATACAGATTTGGAAATCATGACGTCATCAGCACACAGTAGTTAAAGCCATGAGATTTGATTAAATGAGATAGAGGGAGTAAGTATAAATAAAGAGGAGTGGGACACTCCAGGGTGCTGGAGATTGGGGAGACAAGGAAGAACCAGCAAAGGAGCAACTGTGAGAGGAGGGAGGAACCAAAGGAGAGGACTGCTCTGAAAACCAAGTGAAAGATGTGTTTCAAGAAGGAGAGTGTAATTGGCTCTGTCCCACACCACGGAAGTGGATCATGGCAGATGAGGATTGAGAATTGACCTCTGGATCTACAATACAGAGACCATTGATGCCTTCAACAAGCACTTTGGTAGAATGCTCTGAGCCTGCAGCCTTATTGGGGTGGGTTAAAGAGGGCTTGGGAGGAAAAAAATTGGAGACGGTATAAACAATTCTTATGAGGAATTTTGTTGCAAAAAAAAGGAACAGAATAGAGTTACAAATAAAAAGAGGAAATGGGGTCAAGGTCAAGTCTTTGGGGTTTTTTTAAGATGGGAGAGAATACAGCATATTTGTATACTGATAGGAATGGTTCAGTAGAGAAGGAGAAATGTGGGTCAGAAGAGAAAAAGGACAGTTGCTAGACAGTGTCCTTGGATTGTTGAGAGGAATGATGGCAAAGAATATGGCTTCAGATGCAGGTATGTGAAAAGTGGGAGCCTATAGAAGCTATCTTCAAATTGCTCCTTATTTCTCAGTGAAATAGGAAACAAGATCACTGAAGAGTGGGAATGGGAAAGATGGGAGGTGGGGGTTTCAGGAAAGATGTGTAAAAGTCCTCTCAGAGCATAGAAGAGTGAACTGAATGGGAAGAGGCAATAGGATTGCTCATTAGCAATCCTGAAGACACTTAATTAAAAAAGAAAGTCAATTATATATTATTTAAATATCTGAGAAAATGCATTTAGAAAAGAAAACCTTAATTATTTCCCTATGCATCAACTTCATAGGTTTTTTTTTGTTTTTTTAGAGATTTTTATTTATTTTTGCAAGAGAGAAAGAGAACAAGCATGAGCTGGGGTGAGGGGCAAAGGGAAAAGCAGACTCCCCACTGAGCAGAATCCAACATGGGACTTAATCCCAGGACCCTGAGCCAAAGGCAGTCACTTAACTGACTGAGCCACCCAGGTCCCCAAATTCATGTTTTTAATAGTAATGTGCAGGGCTGCCTGGGTGGCTCAGTGGGTTGAGTGTCTGACTCTTGATTTCATCTTGGGTCATGATCTCAGGGTCATGAGATCAAGCACTGCATGAGGTACTGTGTTTAGCAAGGAGTCTCCTTGAGATTATCTCTCCTCTGCCCCTTCCCCCATGCTCTCTTTTCACCCTAAAATAATTTTAAGATTTTATTTATTTCTTCATGAGAGACATACAGAGAGGCAGAAACTCTCTGTATCAGAATTTCAAAAATAGATCATTTTATGTTCTGTATTATCTCCAGGAATGTAATTCTGACAGTCTAGAGTTTATATTTATAGAAAACGATGTTTATAACTCATTAGAATAAACAGATCTTACCTAATCCCAGGATACCTGAAAGTATTTTTCAAGAGAACCAAACCCCTAATATTTATTGTCTCTTTTCTCTGAACATCTGAAATCGTACACATCAGTAGAAAAAGGGCAGCTCTAACATTTCCATGTGTTTGCTGAGTATGGACTGAATAGGAAAGTGTTTAAACATCTGATATAAAAAGTAAATTATTTTTATTAGATTACATTTCAGTATATATCAGAAAGGTAAAATCACAGTACTTTAGAGCTGAAAAGAATGTTGGAAGTTTTCTAGTCCAGTGACCCTATTTTTCCTAGAATATTATAAATCCTGGTATGTAACATTTTTCTGTTGAGGAGCAAAAAGATACAGTACTTTACTACCCCTAAACTCTCTAAGGGACCTTCACAAAGCCAGTTTTAAAAGTATCATAAAATCCAAGTTCTCATCTTACAGGTGAGGAGCTAAAGCACAAAGCAATTGACTAACACAACTATTTGTCCATAAGACCTAGATGTTGGGAAGCTTCATTCTACTATTCTCTCTGCTTTTGTCTGTCTTTGAATTTTTCATGATGTAAAGTTTTTAAAAACCTACTGTAGAAACTAACGAGAAGACAGCAGGTTGTTAGCATTCTCAGCTTTAAAACTCTAGTTTTGATATTTTATGAGCAGAGGATCTGTAACGTAATTTGTAATTATTTGTAATTATTTTTCTGAAAGACAAATTTCATACCTTAGGGCCTGTATTTATGGATAAGACAGCTGGTCAGTCAGCCTCTAACTACCTGCCCTAAACTCCGTTTTGTAGTTCTCTGCAACTCATCAAATATCCACTAACTGTTGTAAAAGAATGAAACTGGCAGAAAAGAAAGCCCAACCACTAGTGCTAATAAAGAAAAAGGATAGTTCGAGAGAGAAATTATATGCTACCCTGGCACCTGACAACTTGATGGTAAAGCAGATCTGGGGATGATGTAATCCTCTTGAGCAGCAAGGGCTCTGGAGCATTCAGATTCTAGAAGAAAGGAAATTAACTATTTGTCAAAATGATTTAATGACTATTAAATCCCAATTTAATTCTCGAAACAACTGTGATGCATTATCCATGTTTTTTAAGTGAGGACCTTGAGGCTCAGCGGTTAAGGTACTAATTTGTCTGAGGTCCCAAGATTCGTGCATTGTCTACTATGTGCTAACATTTACCAAATTAAGTAAAACAAGCCCCTGCTCTGAAGGATTCACTAATAATGTGGGAGATGGACACAGAACATGATGCTATCGAGGCATAGAGGACTACTTTTTCTTGAAAGCCAGGATAAGTCTTCACTGAGGGAGTGACACTGAACTAATTTTTAGAGGATGAATAGGAAATTATGCAGCAGAAGAGGCAGGTAAAGACACTCCAGGAAAAGAAAATGGCTTGCATGAGTTTGTGGGATTGTTACAGGACATGAATACATTGTCATTTAGGTCATTTTTCACATACTCTAAACATTACTGTGAAGTTGAAATCCCATCTCTTTCATTGTGTAATTCAGCTATATTAAACACTTTCTGATAAGGGATACAAATACATTTTCAGAACAAAAAGGGGTAATGAGTACTCAGTGATTATTTATTAGACCCGACTGAGTTGTCTAGGGAGACTTAGAGCTTTCAAGGCCCAGCTAAGATTTTATTTTTTTATTATTATTTTGTTTTAAGGTTTTTATTTATTTGTTTTTGCGAGAGAGAGAGAGAGAAAAAGAGCACAAGTGGGGGGAGGGGCAGAGGGAGAAGTAGGCTCCCCCCCTCTGCTGCGCAGGGAGGCCCATGCAGGGCTCCATCCCAGGACCCTAGGATGGTGACCTGAGCCAAAGGCTGTCGCTTAACAGAATGAGCCACGCAGGCGCCCCCAGCTAAGATTTTAAGTTGTAAGTCTGCCTTAGTATCAGTCCCCATGGTTAATGAATTTTCTCCATAATGCTTAGTTGCCCCAGTATTTGAGCAGTTAATGAAGAAGGCTAAAATTTGGGGTACCTGGGTGGCTCAGTGTTGAGCGTCTGCCTTCAGCTCAGGTCATGATCCAGGGGTTCTGGAACTGATTCCTGCATCAGGCTCCCTGCGAGGAGCCTGCTTTTCCCTCTGCCTCTCTCTCTGTGTCTCTCATGAATAAATAATTTTTTTTAAAAGGCTAACATCTATCAAAGATTGGGGTTCTTTAAGTTTTTTGAACCTGCAGAACAAGGTGTACCAAACTGAAGGTCAATTACTAAAAGGGGTGTGGCCCTGAAGTCAGGCTGGACAGGAAAGAGTGGAGCCAGAGGGAGACTGATAGGGGGGAGAAAGGAAAGAAGCCACAGACTGGGAGCTCTGAAGGTTGGAAAACAGGTCAAAGAGGTTGAGGGATGGAGATACTATAATCAGGCCACCTCTCAGCAGTTTAGCGCCGCCTTCAGCCCGGGGCGTGATCCTGAAGACCCAGTCCCACGTCAGGCTCCCTGCATGGAGCCTGCTTCTCCCTCTACCGGTGTCTCTGCCTCTCTCTCCCTCTCGCTCTCTGTCTCTCATGAATAAATAAAATCTTAAAAAAGAAAATGAGGCCACCTGTGAAAGGAAAAACAAAGTACCTGGCATTAAAAAGATAGGACAGGTGGGCATGAGTCACCATCCATGATAAAATACACTCTCCAAGTGTATTCGTTTTGCATATTACTTTTTCTTATGGAATACAAATGCGGGGTGGGGCTGGGGGAGGGTTCCACTATCGTTTTACATTATTTAAAAATCCAGCCTTTGGTAATTTAAGAGGTTGCCATGACCAGACTGCAAAGGGCCTTGTATTACCATTCTAAGGAGTTTGAACTTTATCTGGAAGGAGCTATTGAAGTGTTTTAAATCAGAGAGTAACGTGTTCATGTGCACACTTCAGAAAGAGCACAGTGACAGTAGCATGGGTAGAGAGAGGCGGACTAGCTAGGAGACTCTTATGGTCATAAGGTACAAAGACCAAACAGAGGGGCCCCCAGGTGGCTCAGCGGTTGAGTGTCTGTCTGCCTTCAGCTCAGGTTGTGATCCCCGGGATTGAATCCTGCATCAGGCTCTCCACAGGGAGCCTGCTTCTCCCTCTGCCTGTGTCTCTCATGAATAAATAAAATATTAAAAACAAAACAAAGACCAAACAAGTAATTAGTGGAGGCTGAGAAGAGATGATGAATAGGAAAAATATGAGAGATTCTGTGTAACCAATTGTAATGTACAATTTTGTATTGCTTTACATTTTTTTGTTACTGTTACATCTGGTTTTTTTTTTTTTTACATCTGGTTTAATGTTTTATAAAGGTTAAAAAGAGGGATCCCTGGGTGGCGCAGTGGTTTGGCGCCTGCCCTTGGCCCAGGGCGCGATCCTGGAGACCCGGGATCGAATCCCACGTCGGGCTTCCGGTGCATGGAGCCTGCTTCTCCCTCTGCCTGTGTCTCTGCCTCTCTCTCTCTCTGTGACTATCATAAATAAATTAAAAAAAAAAAAAATTTAAAAAAAAAAAAAATAAAGGTTAAAAAGATAAAGTCTGTAGATTAAGGCAACTGAATGACAATTGAACTATCATGAAATTATTAAACTGTGATGTATTTAATGTGTGGCATTAGAGTAGCATTTAACATCCACCCACCCACCCGCACCCCTTACCACAAAGATATCTACCTCCTAATCCCCAGGACCTGTGAATATGTTGGGTTAAATGGCAAAGGAAAATAAGGTGGCAAGTGGAATTAAGGTACTAATCTGCTGACCTAAAAATAAGGAGATTATTCTGGGTTTTCCAGATGGGCCCAATACCATCCCAAGCGTCCTTAAAGGGAAGAGGTATAATCCAAGGGAAAAGGTAATTGGAAGAGTGTCAGAGTCAGAGAGAAATGTGAAATTCAGAACAGTCAGAGAGAGATGCAACCTTTCTAGCTTTGAAGATGGAAGAAGGAGCCATGAGCCAAGGAATGTAGGTGGTCTCCAGAAGTCGTAAAAGACGGGAACAGGTTCTCTCCTAAAGCCTCCAGGAAGAAATGTGGTCCTTCCAACACCTTGATTTTAGTCTAGTAGAACCTATGTCAGACCTCTAACCTACAGAAATGTAAGATAATAAATTTGTGTTAAGTTCTCTAGGTTTGTGGTGATGTGTTACAGCAACAAGAGAGAACTAATATACTCAGGCTAACTAATTTTTGGTCATCTTTATTTTGGAAACACTTTCCTAGTTTATTTTAGTTATCTCTGTTTTGGCAGTACTTTGCTGGTTTGTTTTGAATTTCAATAAATATAGAATAACAGAAACAAAAAAAGGATTGCAGTAGTAGGTCAGTTTCATGATCCCTTCAGCCACCTTCCTATTTTATCTCAGGTCACCCAGGGATAGTCTCTAGGAAGATGTGGTTTTTGTTTTTTTTAAAAAAATTATTTATTCATGAGAGACAGAGAGAGGCAGAGGGAGTCCGATGCAGGACTTGATCCCAGGACCTTAGGATCACAACCTGAGCCAAAGGCAGATGCTCAACCACTGAGCCACCCAGGTGCTGCAAGATGTGTGGTTTTTTGTTTGTTTGTTTGTTTGTTTGTTTGTTTGTTTTTTATAGACTATCAACCTCAAAAGGTTAGGGATGTCTTATTTTTTTAAATGAAGAAAAGTTCTTGTTAGAACTCAAACTTGCCCCTCCCTGCTTCACAGCTTCCACATGGAGATAGGAGCCTTGAATTAACCAGTGAAAATGTATCCATCACCTACCCCCAGAGAATCCAGCCCAAAAAGCAAATCTATACAACTGGAGCTTTTTACAGACTCCCCCTGGGGCAAGGAAACTGTTCACAGAGAAGGCAGAAGTTAAAACCATGGGTACCAGCAAGGGGACTTAGGCCGTGGAGCAGGAAGCATGACGTATTCCCCCCACCAACCTCTGCCAACCTCACATACAGGGGGCTTGATGCCCTTCTTTGCCTCCGACACCTCCCTGTCTTCTCTGAGAGTTGACGGTTGAAGCACCCCGATGGTGCTGGGGATACACAGAGCCCCTCTGTCTTTCCCAGACTCTGTGAAGGCAGTGCCCTTTTCTGGCCGCACAGCTCCTGTTGAGCAAAAATCCTTTTCTTCCCCCATGAATCTTATGCCAGTTTTGAGGATGCTATTACATAAAGTATTTGTTGATTTTTTTTAAAGATTTTATTTATTCATGAGAGAGAGAGAGAGAGGCAGGGACACAGGCAGAGTGAGAAGCAAGCCCCATGCAGGGAGCCCGATGCGGGACTCGATCCCAGGTCTCCAGGATCAGGCCCTGGGCTGAAGGCAGTGCTAAACCGCTGAGCCACCCAGGCTGCCCGTATTTGTTGATTTTTCTTACACTCACCCTCAAACAGGTAACATTAAAGCAGGCACCTTACTTAAGGCTGTGTACTGACTTCATGACCAGTCTTTAACACTGTTTGAAGCTTTCAGATTCATTCACCTGTCAATCAAGTTCTAATCCTTAGAACTATTTACTCATAGGCCTCCTTCTACATCGATGTCTATACCAATTGCTGGTGAATCTGAATCTCTGGAAGAGGACAGAAAAGGTGGAGAGACTCTCAAAATCCATCTTGGAATAGCAGGTATGGGTGTGTGGCTCATTGTTTTGTTTTTTCCCTATTAGACACCCTAAAAGATTCCCAGAGTCCCACCCACATTTAAAATTCTGTGGGTAGATGGCTTGAAATGTGCCAGAAAGAGTTTTAATTTTGCAGTTTTAAGTATGCAATTTTTGGTTAAGCCAATGCTTCATTTGTCTAAAACATTAGGCCCTGACAGGTTAAGAGCTAGATGTTGCAGTGACACACGCCCCCGTTGTGTACCGCGGCCCCCCGCGGCCCCCCAGACGCCCCAGGATACTACAGGAGTTGGCCCACTGCGCCAGCCAGCTGTCAGACGTTGCTTCTCCTCCGTGGATCACATTTGTCTGTCGGTGGTTCCCAAACACGAGTGGACATCAGAGTTCACCTGGTGCGCTCGCTCGTTAAACCTGCAGCCAGACATTTGATTCGGTGGGTCAGGGTTGGGGCCTAATTGCATTACCTGCTCCCCCAGGGACACTGCTGCTGCTGGGCCCCAGGCCACACCGGGACACTCCCAGCCACAGTCAGAGTCTGCTCCGGAGCCAAACAGAGGGGGGGGGGGGGGGGATATGATGTTAAATTGGCTGAAAGAAAAAGGATTTAGGAGTTTCCTTCCTTCTCTCATATGATGTTAGGAGGGCTCTTATTTGTAAGAACAAAAAGAAGGGTGTAGTGATGCGGATTAACACTTGCACCACCTTTCTAGATATGCAAAGATAAGGTTTCTTACAGATAATAAGGACTACAAATCTCCTGATTTAGGATCAGTGAATCCTTTTCAACTTAAAACCTTTCCATTAGCTCCTCCTCTGCAGTACTTAAATATTCTGAATTCTTTATTTAAAAACAAACAAATAAAACTCACTGACCCTACATCCTCTGTCTACTGCTCTTCTGTGGGTTTGTGCTCTTCTTTCTGTGGCCTTGCCTCCCCTGCTTCTCCCGTCTTCCCCTCCCCTCTCTCACACCTATTATAGCCAGACTTCTAGGAAGAACCTGCTGGGTGTCTATCCCTAAATACGTGTGCCACCTGGCTTCTGGCTTCTGCCCTGCCTTGTGATGCCTCCAGTAACACGATTGTCAAAACCACCTGTGGGCATGTCTTCTGCTCTCAATTGATGTGGCCTCTTTCTTGAAGCCTTCTTTTCCCTTCGTCCCCACTTCTCTGACCTTTCCTTCCCTAGCTCCTCAAAGGCCTCTTCATCTTCTTCCACCTTCCTCTTAAATACTAAGGTTTGACAAGGTTCTGTTCCCTCTACTCACTGTCCCTGCACAATATCCTCTATAGCCTTGGATTTAACTATCACATAAATGTAAAAGTGAATATAAATCAAAAGCTTTGGTTTACAGATCTGTGTTGCCTCCAGACCTCCCTCCTAAACTCCAGGTGCACATTACCAAATGCTTTTTGGGAAGGCCCACTTCATGTTCCTTCCGTGTTATACTGAAATCCATCCATTCCTTTCTCCTCGGCCAGATTCCAGGTTCTTCCCAATCAGGTTTTGTCTTTGTACCTCCAGCATAATGCCAGGGGCACAGGAAAAATTCACTGCACAGCAAATGGGTGTCCTCAGGCACCTCAGGGTCTGCACACCTGGCACAAGTCTTCCCAACTCTTCCTCCCGCATCTTGTCTTTCTTACCCTAGCAAGTCGAGCCCAGCAACTTGTGCCTGCTGACCACCTCTTACTCTCAACTGGGTTACTCTGAAAACCTTCACTTCCCCCACTGTTCATCCTGTTGTCAGGATGTGGATTTGGTCATGTCACACCCTTGCTGAAAGCCATTGAATGATTTCCTTCATTAAACCCGTAGAAAGCCCTCACTACCAGGCATCTGTTCATCTCTCTTTTCCCTTCGGTCATCTGCCCAACTACCCAATATTCTGACTGTACCAGACTGTCTGCTCACTGCAAATGAGGAATCCTTTTCCCAACCAAGTCTTGCTAGAGTTCGTATACACTGTTAAAGACCTAGAGTTAACCTCCTCTTTGAATCTGTGCCCCCCCCATCAGGTAGTGTTCAAGGGTACTTGTCCTTTGAAGCTTGTATTTTAGTGCTTGCCACATTGTATTCTAACTGCTTCTACCTCTAACCTCTGAGCATTTATTTATTTTTTTTAAAGATTTTATTTATTTATTCATGAGAGACACACAGAGAGAGGCAGAGACACAGGCAGAGGGAGAAGCAGGCTCCATGCAGGGAGCCCGACATGGGACTCGATCCCAGGTCTCCAGGATCAGGCCCTGGGCTGAAGGTGGCACTAAACCACTGAACCACCCAGGCTGCCCCTTATTTTGTTTTTTTTTTTTAAGATTTTATTTATTCATGAAAGACACAGAGAGAGGCAGAGACATAGGCAGAAGGAGAAGCAGGCTCCCCTCTGGGGAGCCCGATGTGGGACTCAATCCCAGGAACCCGGGATCACCACCTGAGTCAAAGGCAGATGCTCAACCACCAAGCCACCCAGATGCCCTGAGCATTTTGTACCCCCTATGTCTTGTATACTATTGGCACCTGACTTGGTGAAAACTTAACAAATAATTATTGAATGAATAAATTTTGAAAACCAATAGATAAATGGATAAATTAAAATCTGAGCCAACTCTAGGAGTAAATGGTCAGTCCTATATAGTTCTCAATATGAGCCAATACTGGGTTTCATTGCTGTAGTTCACTCTTGTGTCCTAAACACAGGACTAGATATGCTGGTTTGGATTTCTATCTTTTGGCCTGTCAGAAGTGAGAAACCTTTGTAGAAGGGCTAGGTCGCCCCAGTAGCTTCCTTGTTTGGCAGCATTTCTTGGTCTGGCTGCATCCAATATAATTTATAGAACTGCTGCTATCATTGCTGTGTTACTCAGTTGGCTTCCAATTGCCTCTAACGTGAAAAATCAGTTCTAGTTTCTAAATATTTCATGATAATGGAAATGGCCACAGTTTTGCATTCTGGGGAACCTGGTTCTGGAAAGACATAATTGGCATCTGGAATATGCATATTATCAGGGAACTGCTAGGAATGGCTTTGACACTGGGTTGGCTTTGGGGGGCTTTTCTTTTCTTTTTTTTTTTTTTTTGTGCATTTACTTTGAAACTAAATACTATAATCAGTTCCTGAGAACTTTTATTCTTTTATTGTCACTGCTACACTCCATGCTGTGTTGATTTAAACCACAGACATTTGCCCAAATTATAGCCTAGCACTAGCAACACTAACATGAAAGTAACAAAGTACTCTTTAGTTTACTGCCGTGATGGGGTTTCTGAGAGCAAGGTTTCCTCAAAAAGCATACCCAAACCTGGCTATTTTGTGAATATAAGAATACATCTGACTCATTTTTATTAGAGAAATACTGAACGTAAGAACCGAAATGGTTAAGATAGAGTGCTGTCAAATCTTACAAAAAAAAAAACCTATTTCTTTAATAAACTAAGGTATTTAAGTTTTTTTTGTATTTCTTGCTAAGCGGTTGTTTAATTGTGCCAATTTAAAAGGGTCTCTTTCACTTGGTAACTAATTTTTCTGGATAATGAACTTGGCAGTTTCTAAAATCTGCAGATAAGAATACAAACTGACCATTGACTTGTCGACAGTAATAGTAACATCGCATTATAACATATTGCAGATCTTTCAGCGAAGAGTGCCTCCGTTCCCGAGGAACTTGGTGCCTGTGGACATTCTAGAACATCAAGCTATGCCAGCCAGCAGTCGAAAGTATCAGGTAGAGGCTAACGGAGCCGTTGAATTCCCTTGACATTTATGACTCTAGAGGATTACTTGAAACTGCTGGGGTGTGGGAGAAGAAAACTTGATTGCACTGTAGTTGATAGCAGTAGTTTATCCAAAGCGCTCTTCTCTGGCAGGGTATAGCACATGCCACTCCCGGTCATCCAGTTTCTCAGAGCTCTGCCACAGGAGAAACACGTCAGTGGGAAGCACATCAACAGGAATCGAAAGCATTCTAGAACCGTGTGATGAAGTTGAGCAAAAAATAGCCGAACCAAATCTTGATACAGCCGGCAGAGAAGATACAGCTTCAGAACTGCTCAGCAGGTATCCTTTCAGTCTGCGTGTAAAGCGGGAGAAAAAAAAAAAAACAACTTTGTCTTCATAACATAAGAAAAAGGAGGAAACTTTTTTTTTTTTTACTTATTTGCAAAGATGCGCAGTGAAGCAAGATTCTGTAGAATCTCAGCTGAAGCGAGTTGATGACACCAGAGTGGATGCAGATGATATTGTGGAGAAAATACTACAGAGTCAAGATTTCAGCCTAGATTCCAGTGCAGAAGGTGCGTAGATAACATTAAATGTACATACATGTCTGCACCCCAGGGTTGTGTGGTCCGTGTGCTCAGCAGGAAAGGAGCTCTACATCACACTGACTATTGGACATGTGTAAAATAAAGTTAATTGCCCATGAAAATCTGAGGATAACTTCATAGCTCATTTATTTCCAGGAATGGATTTTAAATTTGGAAAAGAACGAACTTTAGTTTAAGAACATCAATCTTAAAGGAAGGTCTTATTGTGTCTGCATCATCATCCCCCATGTTCATATACCTTATGGCGGATGTCTGCATCTTCTGTGTCATAACTAGACACAAGTACTTCATATCACTGTGCAATTTGGAGGGTTAGGTGGTGATCTTAAGATGATAGTGAATAATAGAATCCTTTATTCCCTCCTCAGCATTTGCACTAAGGCTGAAAGTTTACATGCTACCAGTGAAAGGTGTAATTATTCAGGCTGGTGTGAACAGAGAAGAGTTAACAATGGATTTAGTTTCATTATGTAACTGTTTATAAAGAGAAATAATTAAACCTTACTTGTGGAAATGTATAGGAAAAGATGTCTTCTTTACTCAGTTTTAAAGAAAGCTTTAAGGAAGTCGAAGAGAAATAACTATTAAGATATCTAAATTGCCTGTTTGAAAACGTGTATGTAGCTTTTAAAATTTTATTTCATTAATAAAACTGAAACATGAAATATGAATTTTGAGTATAATAGGAATATTATTTGACAATAATATAACAAGTGTGCCTAAAACAAATATTTTAAATATGAATTGCAGAAGAAGGCCTGAGGTTATTTGTGGGTCCTGGGGGAAGTACAACCTTTGGCAGCCATCATCTTCCAAACAGGTATGTGGTCCTGATAATATCTTATTAAATAAAGAATACACTGACTTTTTCTTTTAAATGTTCTTGAGTGAAAGATGAAGGTTACAAAGTTTACATTAGATTGTGGCTAGAAAACACATATATTGCTTCCATGAGAAGAACTGCAACTCTGAGTTTTCCTTATCTTGAGTATGTTTGAAATTCTTTTATATGTTTATTTGTTGGTGTTCTTAAATGTGCTTTTAGAGTGTATTAGTAGAGGACCAGAAGAGCACTGGGCAAGATGCAATGAAAAAAGATGTTTAGAAAAGGGTTCTCAGTCTTATATTTTAGAAAGAGCAAAGCAGAACTGCATTTCAGTCAATGACCTTGTCTGTTATGAGCAGTTTCACAGCCACTCAGCAGCACACACTTAATATTACCTTTTTTGTACTCTTCTTTTCTCCACCCTACAAGATTCTAACATACCTACTAAGAAAAGTTCAGGAAATAAAGCAGACATGAGGTTCAGATTCAGATGAAGAAAAGACACCTGCCAGACTTATCATTGATTTCCAGCACTGCAGCAAATCTTAGTGAGCACAAGAGCTCAGAACACATTAGGAATTCTGATCTCTGCCCTTATGTGCATCCCTGATACTCAGTATTTTTGTGTAATATTTATGTAGAGTTCCAGAATAAGTCGGAGTTGTGTTAGGGTGCCCCCCTCAGTCGGTCCAAGACAGTTATTTTATTCTCTAATGCTCAGAACCTGAAAAAATTTCTCATTCATTTTCCCCACCAGTACTCATTTTATTGAGTACCTCCTATGTGTCCAGCACATTGCAAGGTCTAAAAGATATGAAAGATACAGTAAATTCCTACAATCAGATGTGATAAGTAAATAAGAGAGGGACATATAAAGAGACTGTGAGGAAATAGTTAATTTGAACTGGGGTTTATGGAGGATGTAAGCACAATTTATAGTTTTCGTTAACTCTCACTGATTTATCCATTCATTAAACTCAGTAACTATTTATTAGGCCAAGTCATGGGTAAGGATACAAAACAGACCCAGTTCACCCTCAGCTAGTTTTTGTTCCTAGTACATAGGGTTTGGCAAATCCAGCCTGTAAGCCAAGTTGGCCCATTGCCTATTTTTGTAAAAATAGTTTTATTGGAAGACAACATTTATTTATTTATGTATTTTCTATGGCTGCTTTGATGTTACAGTAGCAGAGTTGAGTAGTAAAATAGAGACCACAATGGCCCACAAAGCCTAAAATATTCATTATTTGACTCTTTCTAGCAGGTGAGATAGACAAACTAAAATTCATAGTAATATAGTAAGTACTATAATACAGAGAAGTAGAGGAAACTCTGAGTGACAGAGATGGGACCTCACTGACACAGAGAAAACTTCCTAGAAGGTTGACACCTGAAGAGAGTTGGGGAGAATTAAAAGGTAAGTGGGACTTAACAGGTAGATATGAGGAAGACAAATATTCCTGGTAATAGGTTCAAATAGAGTGAACTTATAGGCATAATAATCATATATATAATCATATAATAATAAAGAAAAATTTTAGATAACACTTATTGAGCTTTTATATATGCACATGTATGTGTTTCATTCAGTTCTTACATTATCTCTTTCATTACTCACAAAGTACTATTGTTAGTATTTATTTTTTTTATTTTTTTTTATAAATTTTTATTTATTTATGATAGTCACAGAGAGAGAGAGAGAGAGAGGCAGAGACACAGGCAAAGGGAGAAGCAGGCTCCATGCACCGGGAGCCCGACATGGGATTCGATCCCGGGTCTCCAGGATCGCGCCCTGGGCCAAAGGCAGGCGCCAAACCGCTGCGCCACCCAGGGATCCCCTATTGTTAGTATTTAAAAAGTGAAAACAAAGAGGTTAATTTTCCCAGAACCTTAAAACTAATAAGTGATAAAACCAAGATTCAGGGGCGCCTGGGTGGCTCAGTTGGTTAAGTGGCTGCCTTGGCTCATGTCAAGCCCTGCCTCAGGCTCCCTGCTCAGAGAGAAGCTGGCTTCTCCCTCTCCCTCTGCCCCGGCCACTCCTCCTGCCTGTGTTCTCTCCCACTCTCTCTGTCAAATAAATAAATAAATAAATAAATAAATAAATAAATAAATAAATAAATAAATAAATCTTTTTTAAAAATCATTTAAAATTTGGGGGGAAAAATGATTCAAACTCCTGTCTCTTTGAGTCCAAACACATTCATGGTACTGAACCATCATACCTTGCTGCTTGTGAATAGTATAACCTACAACCTACTTAGGGAGCTGCCAATAAACAGGTACTTCGGATGAGGGGCACATGAAGGGAGCTGTGGGACCTGAGTTGACAACAATCTCAAAGCCACATTGTAAATGGCCTCTATCACCACAACCAAGAGTTCGTTATCCTTTTTTATCACATGTACAGTTTGATCATTCTTTGCAGGAAAGTGATCTATCTAATGGGCTCTTAGGAAACTAGCCATAATTTGGAGGTGGGGAGGAGAGTAGAGCGAGGACAGGGACAGGTAGAAGATAACATTTATGAGGACAGTGATAGGTATGGTAGAAAGAACATGTATTTTTGAGTTAAAGAATTCATATCCTAACCAGACCATTTTGGGGACTCAGTAAATCTCTTAACCTTGGTGGAATTTTAGTTGCCCCTGGCGACAAGTGGGAATAATCATAGGATTGACTTAAAGAGTAAATGACATAATGTACTCCATAAGCCTTAGCAATTATTTAGGTAGAAGAACAGCAAACAATACAGTTCCAACCAAAAGGGACCAAAATGGTAAATGCCCCCAAAGCACAGGCTTCCTCTACTCTCATTTCAGGCTGCTCAGCATCTAAGGCAGAGTTCTGCCCCTATCTGCTTCACTGATGTGAATAACCTCTATAAGGCTTACTTTCCTCACCTGAAAAATGGGAGTGATAAATACTACCTAACTCATAGGATTTTGCAGAGGATTAAGTTTGATAACTTACAGAAAGCATTTAACACAGCGCCTAAGACATGGACAGCTCTCATTGTTAGACTAGTTGTGTATATATAGTTGTTTTCAAAGAAAGAAAAATAATTTCCATTTGAGAGAATATCTAGAACCTAGGATATAAAGGCATTCATAATTCTGAGTCCCACTCCCTTTCCAAATGAATGTTAGAAGAATCATCACCCAATGCATGAAATCCTAAAGTGATAATTAGAAGTTGAAGTAAATGATTAGTGCCATATGCCACAGAAAGGCTGAGGAATGTTAGAGACGGTGTATCGTGGTGAAAGAGAATGGGGGATGCCTGGGGGGCTCAGTGGCTGAGTGTCTGCCTTTGGCTCAGGCTGTGATCCTGGGATCCTGGATTGAGTCCCGCGTCGGGCTCCCTGCGTGGAACCTGCTTCTCCCTCTGCCTGTGTCCTTGCCTCTCTCTCTCTGTGTCTCTCATGAATAAATAAATGAAATTTTAAAAAAAGAAAAAGAAAAAAAAAGAGAATGGGCAATGCAGTCAGACATGGGTTTCATTCCTGGCTTAGCCATCATGACCCAGCTTGGCTATGATCCTGACAAACCACATCTCTTACTTGCCGCCAAAAAGACATATTGCTGGGGTTAACAACACAGGCTCTGGAGTTGGGATCCCCAGGTTCCGTCCCAAACTCCACCAAGTATCAGCTGTGCATCTTCAGTAAGTTATCCCACTTCTCTCTGCTTCAGTCTCCTCACCTACAAATACAAAATAGTGGCAATAACAGAACCCACCTCATAAGAGTTGTAAGGCTTAAATTAAGCGAGGTGACACATGTAAATGACTAAAACAAAATCTGGCATGCAGTAAACATTAAGTACTTAATATGCACTCATTAAGGGTCTCTTGAAGAGTTATTGTGGAGAACCATCTATTGAAGTGCCTAGCACAATACTTGGATACATAGGCTCTCCGTCACTAGTCGGTGTGTATCAGAAGAAGTAATATGTTAGCAGTAGATCTGTTCTGAAAGAGAAACTGGCAGCATAGGAGGAAACTAGAATCGTTTACTCGGGCACTGAAGAGGCACAAGAACCACACACACGTAGTTAAGAAAGGGAACCCATGAGAATGAAGAGAACAGAGCAACAAGCAGTGGAGACCTGGGGAGGAACATCCCTGGTAATCCACTTGAAGTTTAGCAGATGCAGCCTGACCAGCTCAGCGATGCCTACGGAGGTTGCAGGGTTCTCCCTCCCCGCTTGCCTTTGAGACAGTTTCTAACCAAAAAAAGTCTGCTTTCATTTGTTTCTATTCCTCTCTATGATTTTTCTTTCATCTCTGGCCACTTATAAAATCTTATCACTGGTTCTTAGTTTGGTTATGATGTGCCTTGGTGTATTTTTCTTTGTGTTTATTCTGCTTGGGGTTCATTGAGCTTCCTCGATCTGTGGTTTACAATTTTCATCAAATTTAGAAGTTTTCCAGACATTATTTCTCTCTACCCCTCCTTCTGTTGACCTACAGATTCTAGCCCCAGCCTCCATGAGCTCTGACTCCTGCACTCAGAAAGACCACCTGGCTATGTCTGGGCCCTCCCGACACTGCAGGCTGGAAAGACCCTGAAGGAAACTTGGGGCTTTCTTCATTGCTTTCCCTTCTCTCAGGACCAGTCCTGTACTGCCTTTTGTCCAGGGTGTAAAACTGTTTACATGTTCTGTAAAAATGTTCGTTATTTAGAGCTGGAGGGATCTCCTCCCTCTTCTTCTCCCCCTGATCATGCTCTCTCTCTCTCTCTCTCTTCCTCTTTCTCTCTCTTTCTCTCCCTCTGTCTCAAATGAATAAATAAAATCTTTTAAAAAGGGGTGGGCAGTGTGCCTGGGTGGCTCAGATAGTTAAGCATCTGCCTTTGGGCTCAAGCTGTAATCTCCAGGTCCTGGAATCAAGCCACATGTCAGGCACCCAGCTCAGTGGGGAGTCTGCTTCTCCTCCCTCTTACTCTCCACCTGCTCATGCCCTCCCCCTCCCCTCCCCCCTTCCCTCCTCCCCCCTCCCCTCCTCCCCTCCCCTCCTCTCCCTTCCCTTCCCTTCCCTTCCCTTCCCTTCCCTTCCCTTCTCTTCTCTTCTCTTCTCTTCTCTTCTCTTCTCTTCTCTTCTCTTCTCTCTCTCTCCCCTACCCCACTGTCTCAAATGAATAAATAAAATCTTAAAAAAAATAAAATAAAATCAGGAGGGAAAGTCTAGATCCTGTTACTCCATCATTGCCAGAATAGAACTGTTTTAGGGCTTCTGAAAGCCAGTGTGCAGGGGCAGTGCTCACCAAGGTTCCTTCAAATTCTGATTGTAGCTATGAATGATTGGTCACTGGTGTTCTGTTGACGATGTTCCTGTTTCTTCTGTAGAATGTATCTGTAAGAACAGGAGCCTCTGAGCAGTCAACTGAGAAGTCCCAATTCAGTCCACAGTGGGCTGGTAACCACTACATTACTCCCATTTTTTAGAATTTCCTCTTAAAATTCCATTACGGGAAGAGACCAGTCATGGTGGCTGCCTCTGGTCTTACTGATCTCGGGCATACGCACAGTGAAATGGCCAGGTAATGCAGCCCCTGGCATCTTGACTCATGAGGAGATGGGTACTGGTGATAACTTGAAGCAATAATACCCTCCCTTCCATGCAACACCACTACTTCAGCTCCCCTCCTGACACTCAGGAGGGCTTGAGGATCCTCATCTAAAAATAAACTCACCTGCCATCAAAAAAACGCTGTGCTTTTATAGACTTGTAGAAAATCTTTATCCTCCCAGATGAAGAAACAGGAAACGTGTGTGTTCATTCCATTATAACATAGGGCCAAGGCCGTAGGTACACCTGCAGTAACAAACCTTATGTGGATGAGGCCAGTACTTCATTTAAATGTTTTAGTCAGGGGATCCCTGGGTGGCCCAGCGGTTTAGCGCTGCCTTCAGCCCAGGGCCTGATCCTGGAGACCCAGGATCGAGTCCCACATCGGGCTCCCTGCATGGAGCCTGCTTCTCCCTCTGCCTGTGTCTTTGCCTCTCTCTCTCTCTCTCTCTCTCTCTCTCTCTCATGAATAAATAAATAATCTTTAAAAAATGTTTTAGTCACAAAGCTTGCGAATTTGAAGTTTTTAGTATTCTCCATATTTCGTTAATAGAGGTCAGTCAGTATCTGGAATATCAGGGCAAAGGCTAAGCTGCTATAACAAAGGTAACCAAAATACAATGGCCAAGGCTGATGAGACAGCTTTGCCTCAAAAGGTGATTCACTGACCCAGATTCCCTCCATTTTGTTCTTCATCATCTTCCCTACCTGTTGTCAAACTTGGATGGCTACCAGTCCAGAGCAAGCAATTTCTCTTTAAGCAAGTGAAACAGAAATTGACAAGATCTGCATTCATGTTCCTTGCGGGGAACTTAGTCACATGCAACCCCTGTCAACAAAGGAGTTTAGGAAATGTGGCCTCCAGCTGAGAAGCCTGTACAGCCTACAACCAGCTGCAACCATGAAGAAGGAGAGGATAGATTTAGGGGGACCACCAGCAGTATGCCAGACTAAGCTAATGAGGAAATAAACCCCTCCTCAAGTCACTTTAGGGGCACCTGGGTGGCTCAGTCAGTTAAGTGTCCAACTGTTGATTTCTGCTCAGGTCATGATCTCAGGGTTGTGGGATCCAGTCTCCATGCTTAGCAGGGAGTCTGCTTCTTTCTTCTCACTCTCCCTCTCTCTCTGCCCCTCTGCCCATTCTCACACACTCTCTCTCTAATAAATGAATAAATCTTTTTTAAAAAATCACTTTAAATCTTTACACCAGTATAAATTACATTACTGACCACATATGAAGACATTTGCATAGGGCCCCTAGGTGGCTCATTAAGCCAAGGCCTTTTAGCTTGAGTCATGATCCCAGGGTGCTGGGATTAAGCCCCACAGTTGGGAGCCTACTCTCCCTCTCCCTCTGCTCCTCCCCCTGCTCATGGGTATGCATGTTTGCTCTCACTCTCTGTCAAATAAAATCCTTTATAAATAAAAATAAAGACGTTGGCATGTTGACTAAAAGGATTCTTGTACTTTCTAGAAAGGTAAATTAAGACACTACACCCTAAAAATGATCATCCATTAACTCTGCAAGGCCTGGATAAATTGCCAGTCAGTATATACTCTTGGATGAGACTGATTTCTAGGATTTATATATAAACATGTTTCAAGAGAAGACTTCTTGCCACAGGTCAAGATTTAGGAACAGTACTAGATTATTGTAGGAATAAATGTGACTAGACTAATCCAATGTACTGTTTATAAACATTTAATATTTCAAGTATTTTCTATCCGTGATATCTTTAAACCTTGTGGAAACCAGAGCTGGTAGAAAATGCCTAATTCACCATCTCTTCAAGCACAGGGTTAACTAGAACAACTTCAAGCGTTACAGCTCAAGATTTTGATTTTTTTTTTTCTCCTCCTATTGTAGAGTGGGGTCTGGAGCTTATGAACAAGTTGTGATCAAACGCTAAAAGTCAAGCTGGTAAACTGAAGTTTCCCTGGGGGCTTGTGACGTGGGCGGTCAAGCTATTGAGGCACTTCATTCAAGCATTTATGAGAAAATGAACATATTTTATGAAAGAAGCATGTTCCTCGATTTAGAGGAAAGCCAACACTGATTTCTTCTCTGAAAGTGCCCACCACCATCCTGTCCCACCCACCAAAAGGAAGCATCAGAACCATAGTATCAAGGTGCTGTGCCTCATGTCTTTAGGGGTACACAGTTTCTGTGGTCACAGCCCAGGATAATGAAGCCTGCTTTTTCTTTCAAAATATCCAGGTGGGAAAACAACACTATGCATCTGAGTATAGTTCAGTACTGAAGTGTAAAACCTGTAGTAGAGGTGCTCAACAGGTTTGGGCTTTAATTATTTAAGTTTAATGTTTGGGAAGTAATAAGTGAATAATTTGAACCCTATAAATTCTGTCAAGATAGTTATAATCTCTTAAGGAAACCTTCTATATTATATACTACCTACACTATTGTACTGATTATTAACTCTTCCTGATTGAATACTTGATATAAAGTTTTGATGTTCATGTTTTGGGGAAAATGTTATACAATTTAAACGTGTAGAATGCTTAATTCTAAACGTATCCGTCATAAATGGAATAAGTGTTTAAGTCTGAGCTATGTGAATGAGTGTAATGCCATTATTATGCAATACGTATTGTTACTAGTTAATGTTAAATGAGCTGGAGAACTACTAGCACTATATATGAGATTCAAAGTAAGTTTAATATTTAATAGGTTAGGCTCCCATAAGGCACCTTATTAGCTGTCTAACTGAATAAATCTGCTGGTTTCAGGAGTCAGAATTCAGGACAGGAGGAAAATTGTAGCATGATCGGAAACAGTGGCCTTTTTTGTGTCAGTTCAGACTTACTGAAACTGAAAATTATTCCAAGGAGGTGCAGATAAGACAGGGGACAGCAGCTTGACATTATTGACATGGACATAACTCCCCACGATGGGATACTATATTTTTTTCATTCGTATAACAGTAGCTGTTTTGAAACAATAGAATATAACATAATCTAGTATAGTTTTAAAGTAAGAATATCTGATCTGGATCCAGTTTAACAAGCTCAGCAGATAGACCATCTTTTTTTAATCAGATGGGAAGTTTTTCTGGTTTTATATGACAAGTTTTAGTTTTCTTGGAATCACTCAGTCACTGAAGAAAAATGCAGATTCTATAGAACCAGACCTTACTTTCACAACTAAGCCCAAAAAAATGTGATATGTTAGAATAACTTTGGTCTAGGTATTTTTGTGTTGGCAAAGTAAGGGGAAAATATATTAAGAGAATATTTCAATGTCCAAATGTAGAGCTTTGGAAAATTTTGAGTAGTTCATGCTAGGGTTTTTAGTTCTTTAACATTTCAAGGATTGGGTATTCTAAAGTAATCCAGTTCTGTAGCAAATAGATATTTTTAAAAAGGTGAAACCCCATTTTAGAATCTTTCGAATGTTGAGACATGGGGTTTCTGAGTCATTAGTAATACTTTTGTTACATTATTTTGAGAGGAAAAAAATTTACCTGACCATTTAAGGAAAATGTTAGCTTAAGTAGAAAAGACTTGCTTACTCTCTATGATTATCAAGTGAGTTGATCCATCCATTATATATTATGGGGGGTGGGGGGAAGTAAAAGTTTTTAATAGAGATATGAAACTAGTGTTTAGAGGTATTTATGACATGTTTTAAGAACATATTTTTCTATTTTCAAAATATTATTTCTAGGCTATATTTTTTATCAGCACTTCTGCAAATAATTTTGCTGTTTTGAAATGATAAAAACTATTGAAAATGATAAAAACAATTGTAAGCGAGGTTCAGTGAGGACATTCTTCAGATATATAAAAGATCATAATCCAGGCATTGTCCATCTTACTCATCCTTGCCTGCCCTCGGCCTGATACCTTTATACAAGATTGGCTCTCAGTATTTAAAAAGATATAGAATTATTTTTAAAAATCATTTTAATAGATACATTGATTATGGAAAAGTCAGCGCAAGTCTGGATTCATTTTATTTTGTGTGACATTGGCATACTTTGCAATCACATTTATTTACAGTCCGCTAGAAATACTGGTTAAAGTTTGCATAAATGTCTCCCTCTACTGCGTTTTCTTAGAACATGTACTGTAGCTATATCTTAACCATGTAGCTGTTTAAAAAAAAAAAAATGCTCTTTAAATACCAAGTACCCTTTTGGTTCCATTTGGAAATTGGATTTGAAAAATTAGATCTTAATAAATTGATCTTTAAATATTAAAGTCAAATTTCAAATCACTGAGTCTCGGAGAATTTACAAATGTATAACAGTCTTTTTCTAATTCGATCCTAGACAAAGATTAATGATATATTAAAGCTATTTATTTGTGGTCAGATAAGGAAGTCTTAAATACCCTATTTGGGGGAATACAGAGACTTGATCAGAGCCAGCCTTCTTGTGAAGGTCACACTTCCCGTGACTGGAGCTGGTAACTGAGACCAGAGCAGATGTAAAGGGTAACAGGGGCAGAGCAGCCCTGGGCCACCAGTTTGCATTTTGATGGTTGAGTCCCCTTTGTGGTGTTGCAGGCTTCCACCTGGTGTGGATTAGTACTTAAACTCTGAGAACGTCTTGACCAAGAATCCTAAAGTCCATCATCTCATTCCAGGAAAATACCATCAGAGTAATGATACCCAAACTTAGATTATTTTGTTTCACTTTTTAGGAAAACTCTGAGCCATCGAGTTCCACCACTTAGCCCATTTGTTACTAGAAGGAAAACAAATCTTCAGCTAACCTCCAGCCAAAACATTGCTCCAGAAGTAATTTTAGACTGTGATTTCCATGCCAACTAGACCACTTTGCAAGCTCAAGCTGACACTATTAAATACTTCATTTAAGTACTCTGAAGTGTTAGACTACCTAACACTTACATAATCCTCTATAATAATGCTTGGAAGAACTGGGCTTATATGATGGGCTTGCATTTTATTTTAACAGGTCTGAGACAGTTCAGAAATTATACTTGGTTGGTTCTCTTAGATGGTACGTCATTGTGAATATATTCAAGTACTGTAACTGAAATTGTTAATGCCCCTTTCTATGTTGGCTTAGGTACTATGCATAATTTTAATAGCTGAGATGTTTAAGAATATAAATTCTAAAAATATAAAGGATGAAATAAGTTTTAAGACTACTCTGGAATAAAGGCCTTATTTTTACCTTATATATGTGATTTTTCTTAAGAGAATATATACACAGTATATTTTAAATAGTCATGTAGGTGGTCTCTAGCTACTCCCTATATGACAAAGCTGGCAAAATTTTTTATTTACACAGACAATATAGTCTGCATTTACAAGTGTTTATGTTCATCTTACATATATAACAGAACTCTCTTGCTGATAGTCAATGACCAAATCCCATGCAGAGGAACACAGGATATATTGTTTGATTGTTTTTTGGAAATACATCTTATTCTGAAAGATAATGTACTTGTGCATATTCATGTAAATGTTTATGAAAAAAATTGTTATGGAAGTGATTCCATTAGTATTGTTCTAATACTTGGAAAATGACCTTCGTATTTATATATTTCTTTGTTTTACTGTACAACTATAAATCCAGGAAATTCTTTTACAAGAAAATTTTATTGTATTTGTAATAATGTAAAGGTGAATCTTATACCTGTTCAATAAAAATCATCTTAAACTTTACAATGTTTATAAAGTGTCAGTTAAGATTCTGTCCAAAATCTTGTCAGCTTCTTGCCAAGGTAAGAAAAAAAGAGAAGTGAAAGGTCAGGAGAACTTTTCCCTGACAGTTTCCCCTCACTTATTACCAGGTGGTATAGCACAGACCTGAATCCTCCAGTGAAAGACCCTTCTTTTGAACTCTGAGGTTCGCCCTGCAGTGGGGGAGCATGGGCCCCAGAGTAAGATAGAGTGGAGTCTGAACTCAAGCTCCCTTCTGAACCTGTTTCTAATCCAGGATGGAGATAATACTATCACTAACTCTCCTGGTTGTGAGCAAGAAGCCATGAGCTATCAGGAAATAGCACAGTAAGCACTTATATCCAGCCAAACTGTGCCTTTGTGCAAGCAGCACGTACATGCATACCTCAATTCTAGTGTTAGACACGAAGATGGTCAATAAATATGCCACTATTCGAGGGTAAGGTCCCCACTTAAATGATACTCAGGGAGATCCCTGGGTAGCTCAGCGGTTTGGCGCCCACCTTCGGCCCAGGACCCAGGATCGAGTCCCGCATTGGGCTCCCTGCATGGAGCCTGCTTCTCTGCCTGTGTCCTCTCTCTCTCTCTCTCTCTCTCTCTCTCTCTCTCTCTCTCTCGCATTAATAAATAAATAAAATGTTAAAAACAAATTTAAGTGATACTCAGTGTCACCACTGTACAGACTAGTCCTCAGAGGAAAAACCGTGCCAGCACATTCCCTCTGCTGACATTAAAATTACAATAGTGGGGTGCATGGGTGGTTCAGCGGCTGAGGGCCTGCATTTTCGGCTCAGGGCGTGACCCTGGGGTTCTGGGATGGAGTCCCACATTGGGCTCCCTGCAGGGAGCCTGCTTCTCCCTCTGCCTGGGTCTCTGCCTTTCTTGCTGTGTCTCTCATGAATAAATAAAATATCTTTAAATATATAAGTAAGTAAATAAATTAATTAATAATAAATAAAATAACAATAGCAAGTGAAAGAACAGTGCTTCAGTATGGGTTTGGCCCCATGTCTTTCTCGCAGATCGCAGTGTCGTCCTGGAGAGTGCGGGTGATGAAAGGTCACTGGCACGGGAGGAGCCAGGAGCCGTGGGGTACTGGGAGAGGTGGCACGGGGATAACTTGCTGCCTGATCACAGCAGAAGCCGCAGGGCCCTCTGATCTGCCCTCAACTCCTTACCCACGTCTCCAGCGTGGTGTCCCCAGGCCCAGGCACCGTAGAGCTTACCCCTCTGCTCCACACCCAGTGTTTTCTCTCCCTCCCTCCTCCTGCCTTACCACCCTTGGGTCCTTCATTCCCACAGGTGCACCCCACAGACCGGGGATGGACCAACCTTTCCTCCCATCTGCCTGATAGGAAACTTGGGAGAGTTAACCCATCCCACATTACACTAAACGTAACAAAAGTGTAGGAAACAGAAAGGCTTACACGTGGACATCCCCTGAGTCGATGACACCTACTCGACTCCCTATGGCCCCATGCAACAAGGAGCCTGAGACCTTCCTGCGTGAATGGCTTCAGACCCCATTCCGAGGCCCTTAACCCCTAGAGATTTCTCCTTCGCCATTTCTCTTCAACTGACTTCACTACTAGACCTTTAAACCAGTTAGCAGTTATTTTCAAGTAAAACTGTAAGAATCTTCAAGTTATTTTGCTGCTTATTTATATTGGGGAATTCTCAAAGCAAGAGTGCAATTACCTTTAAGTGGGAAAAGTGTGCCACCTTGTGGTAGTTAGCTTCAGTGATTCAGTTCAACTCTCCCGTGACCCTGTGTGTGCCCTTCTTTCCTAATATCCTGTGGAACTAAGGAAAAATAAATTTCTTCAATATCAGTTTTTTTTAAGCACACTCTCTTCCCAACAGGGGGCTCGAACTTACAACCCCCAGATCAGGAGTTGCATGCTCTAACCACTGAGCCTGCCAGGTGCCCCTTTCCAGCACTCATTTTACACAATTTGAAATACTTGGAAAAAAGATTTTGAGGCGTCACAGACTCTTTCCCTACTTAAGGGTAAATTGCCTTCCTTTGATATGGGATTAGTAAAAGATCGTTGGCTCCATTCCAGAAGGATTCCTCCTTAGGACCGGGTGATCAGCCCTGGCTTCCCCAGGGAGGAGGCTAAACAGGGCCCTGGAGCCTCAGCCTCTCCAACCAAAGCAGGGGATCCGGGGGTCGAGGCCTGTGGTCTGGAGCGGGGAGCACGGAGCGGGGTGCGGAGAGCGGGGTGCGGGGAGCACGGAGCGGGGAGCGGAGTGCGGGGAGCACGGAGCGTTGAGCGTTGAGCGGGGAACGGAGCGGGGAGCGGGGAGCAGCGCGGCGAACGCCCAGAGCTCAGTGTGACTCATTCCCGCGGAGCCCACACGGGGAGGAACGGGGAAGGCCGGACTGCAGCCCCGCGGGGAGGTGGCCCTCGCAGAGCCCAAGGAAACGGGCAGAGCACGGGTGGGTGACTTCAGAGGAAGGGGTTCCTCCCTCGAGTCTCCCTCCCAAACCCCAAGAGGATTTGTGTAAGAAGCCTGGCGGACGGCACGCGGCCTTCAAAGCCCGGCCTCCGTTGCATCGGAGATGAACGTTCGCTGTACAAGTGTCTGGCTTCCAGCTCCTACGAGCTTGCTTTGCTAAGTGTCAGGAAACCCCTAAGTGTCCCCTATGTCGGGATGGCCCCGAAAGTGTGCGTCCTGGCCGAGCGAGCGCAGTTCCGCGATGCCCTGGCCTGGGCGGTCGCGGGCCCTCGGGGCGGTGCAAGGTGCTGCGGGGGGGGGGGGGGGAGGCACGGAGGGGCTGGGGGGGGCTTGGGGGGCTGGGGCCCGGGACTGAGAAGAGCACCTCAGGGAGAGCCTGCCGCAGGAGCCTCAAGGAGCCGCAGTGCCGGGGCCCTCGGCCTTAGCCCATGCAAGCAACTGGAGCAATCTTTAGATCAAGGGCCGGGCAGTGCTAGTGCCTGGTGACACACATGTACGTCTGCTCCCGCAGGGGCTGTGGCCATACTCCTTTTGTCTTGAGAAGCCGGGTAAGCCTTCCTCTCCTGCACAACCGCAGGCCCTGGCGGTTCAGGGTAGCCCAAGTCCTTGGAGCAAAGAACAATGCTGAGGGCTGCTCTTCCTGCCTTACAAGCCTTGGGTTCCAGTCCAAGGGTTTTCCTACACAAAGGAACAATCTGCCTCCTGACAAAGGCACTGGTTCTTGTGAAACTGGAATCTCCGTGTAGTTCCAGTTATTGTGAATATAAGAACCTTTATTGACTCTAAGGAGTGAGAAGGGCAGGAGTACAACTATTCGGGGACTTTTTTTTTGTCCTTAACAGTCTGGATGTTTTAGCATAAACTTGCATTATGCTTTGTTAAGAAAAAAGTGATCATTAAAATATGAGAAAGGAGGGACCCCTGGGTGGCTCAGCGGTTAAGCATCTGCCTTCAGCCCAGGGCGTGATTCTGGGGTCGCAGGATCGAGTCCCATGTCAGGCTCCCTGCATGGAGCCTGCTTCTCCCTCTGCCTGTGTGTGTCTCTGCCTCTCTCTGTCTCTCATGAATAAATAAAATATTTAAACAAATTAAATAAATAAAAGATTTGAGAACAGAGAAGAATGAGAGAGCATGAGTGGTAGGGGGGCCAGTGGAGAAGCAGGCTCCCCGTTGAACAGGGAGCCCGACACGGGGCTCCAATCCCAGGGCCCCAGGATCATGACCTGACCCAAAGGCAGATGTTTAAGTTCTAGGTGGTTATGAATTGTCTCCATTTTTAGTTACTTTTGCAATTTAAATTTGTTTAGTTCATAGAAAAATCCAGTTTACAGTGTTTACAGTTGTTAATCAGCAGGGTTGTTCGTTAATCAGCAGGGTTGTTCATTCTCTGGGGTTCTGGACGGAGACTACAGGTAAAGGTAGCAACCACCTTCGTCACGATTTCAGACACCTTAATATCAAGTTTCAGTCAGAGCTTAAACCTCAGATATTCTGCTTCCTGTTGCTCAGCAGTCTCTGGAACCAAAGGCTTCTCAAACCAGTATTTAGCCCTGGTCTTAGAACAGGAATTCTGCTTTCCCGACATGGAAAGGACAACGTACAAGCAGTAGGAGTTCCCCCACAGGAAAGCAAAGGGAAGCTTCTTCAAGATTTTCAGACATTTCCCCAGAAGGGGCCTAACATGCAACCCGCAGGGGGAGAAACCCATGAATAGCTAGTCATGATTCGAACTTTTAAAGTTTCCTCATGTCCCCTTTCACAGGAAGCTGCTGGAATATAGAGTAGGGAGGAGGGGGAGGTGGCCATCTAAGACTGCCCTCCTTGGAGGGGGGTGTTTACATGAGGCGAGGGAAGCCCTGGGAGGGGTAGTAAAGGGAGAACAAGTAGCAAGTGTAACACAGACAGTGGCTGGGGAGGACTAGACTTATTTCAACAGGTCTCTACATTGAGGCACCTGAAATCTGGTGAGAATTTTACACAACTTATTCTATATATAAAGCACAAGACACTCTACAACGTATAGGGTTGCCACTTAAGATAGAGACAAATGGCGCTCACAAGGTTGGGGGGCGGGGGTGGCGGGCCAGGGGCGCACTCAGAGAAGTAAGCTTCCAGCTGGGAGCCCCCAACGCAGCTTGATCCCAGGACCCTGTCACGACCTGAGCAGACACAACCGAGCCAGCCAGGTAACTAACCCCAAAGGCTGCCACTTTTCTTAAAGTGCTTGGTTTGGTCTCAACCTTTTTAAAAAAAATTTGAGAGACAGAGAGGCAGAGACAGGCTCCTCGCGATGTGGGACTCGATCCGGATCTGGAGATCACATCCTGAGCCAAAGGCAGAGGCCCAACCACTGAGCCACCCAGGGGTCCCTTGGTCTTAGAACCTTAAAGGACTGTTCACTTTCTAGACCTCAACATACCTTGTGAGAACTGGCTGCCTGGATACAAGAATGAGCCCTTACCTAACGACACTCCTAAGATGAACACAGCTACTCGTCGGCAACATTACTGTGGGCCAGGCACTCTCACTGCTTAGAACTCCCCGTGACAGTTATCGCTCCCAGCATACACTCAGTGGGCCAGAAATTTGCCTCTAACCCAACTTGGGTTTACACCAATAGGAAATGAAGCTTCTAATTGCATTTGTCCCTTCATGAAGATCTCCATTTCCGCACTGCTAAAAGGTACAGCTTTTTAAAACAGCAAACTATGGACAAAACCAACAGCTGCCTTTAGTGGCATACCACATCCGCATTATCTGTGGCCTTTTCCAGCGCAATTTCCTGAGAGCTCAGTAGTTTGCAAGGCTGCAAAGATTCACTCTGCATCTACAAGATCTGATACCTGGCTTAGAGCATTAATAACCTTTCCATGTACAAAGAACTGTATTAGAGTGAAATGATGTGGGTCCTGATGTTGCAAAGACATGGGAGTCATGGGAATGGGAACAGTATCTCTATCACCCAGAGCTGCCCTGAGTTTTTAAAGTTTTCAGGAGGGGATGAAGCTTGAAGTAAATCCATTAGCCTGGAGGACAACAGGACAAAGTGCTGGCCTGGGCTTGAAACCTTGGCTCTAACAGGTGAGAAGCCATGGGTAGAAGTCATGCAGAGGCCTAGAAATAGGACAAGCGCAAGCGCCTTTTGCCCTGACGGGGAGCATAGCCGGAGTATATCTACATGTCCTATGCATTCAAGAGAGAAGTATCAGTCTAGAAAGGCAGGGGGCTGATGGAGCAGGCTTATGAAATTATGAACAGCTCCTTAACAGGGCTTATGTGATCAGATTCTCTGAGTCCCTTCTTTCCCCACCCCCCTACCCAAATCCATTTTCCATCCACTTTGAAAACTGAAGAACTATGGCCCCAAGAGGTATTTCCCAGGCAGTCTGGCCCCAGTTTGTGAGGATACACCAGTTGTGGCAGACTGACAACTTGCCAATGTCCTTCCTTCCTCTCCTTATTCCTCCTCCTCAGGTGACACCAACTGGGCACACACAAGCCCAAAATAAAAACCCACTCCTGGCTTCAGAGTGGTAAAGCTCAACAAGGAACAAACCGTGGTCTAGAATAACCTTATCAGAGAGCCAGCACATGCCCTTGTACTTGTCCGCTTGCAGATTCCACGTCATTCCAAAGAGAAAGAGCAAGTAGTAGCTAAAACTCAACCATCCATTTCGGCCCTGAGGTCCATCAGGGAGGTAGATGAATAGATCCCTCTGGTGGCAGAGCCACCAAGCATAATTACCTAGCCACTCCTAGGTCTCATTGAGACCAGTTTCCCCCAAAATGTGAAGCTATAATTCAATTGCTAATACAACCGATTCCAAGCAGTACGCTGCCAAAGGGTGCTTAAGAGGAGGCTGCTTTTCAAACATCTCCTGTATTCTGTTTTAGGCAAAGTTTATGGGTTAGAATTTATCCCAAGAGGCAGAGAATCCTAGAATTTTTAAGACTGAGAAAGTAGGGGCAGGGGACAGAGCAAGAGAAAGGAGGCTCCCTGGTGAGTAGGAGTCCCGATGCCGGACTCGCTCCCAGGAGCCAGGATCATGACCTGAGCCCAAGGCAGATGCTGACTAAGCGACCCAGGCACTGAGAATCCTAGAAATAAAAGTTACTCTTATTTCCAGTGGAAAAGTTTTATTTCATAGTTTACTTTACAAATTTAAGTCATTTAACATGGGTACAACAGAAACGTGTGAACGTGAACCCTACACCACCCCCAAAAAGCATATGAAAACACACAAGGATAGGGAAATTCAAAACTAAGTTGCCTAAACGTACAATTTTCGAACTAAGCCTATCATTAAGGTCCGCGGCTTCAGTAGGAAAGCATGGTCCGCGAGTAGTGATCATGCAAGTCCACCTGGAGGGCACTCTGATCCCTGTTCAGCTTCAGCGCCTCAGAAAGGAGGCTGCGCAGCCGCTCGACACTATCAACCAAGCGGTTCACCTTTGGAAAAGTAATGAGTCTTTCCAGGGGCACGTAGAATTTCTTTCCCACACAGTAAGGCTTGGGGGAGCTCTCAATTTGGGCCCTTTGAGCATCGGTGACAATTAACCCGTACCGTGGGACGCAACTGTCTTCTGGCACCAATCTACCGTTCACCTTTTTCTTCGGATCCACGATAAACCGCAGTCTCATAGAGTTGGAGGCTCTTAACACCTCTGCGCTCAGGACTAACAGGAGGTTTTTCTTCTCCTGTAAACTGGGATATGCTGTTGTAAAAACCTGAAGGAAAAAGATTTCATCACTTTCCTGCATCGCGAATTAACTGTACACTATGTGTATCAAACCCTACCAGCCGGGAGCGCAACATAATGGGAATCACTACTGGCAGTTTCTGCTTTAAAGATTTAATCCTGATGATCACAAAGTATCCCAAAGCCAGGTTTCTACCAATTCACACCAACCCAATGTTCCAACTTGATATTAGAAGGAAAAGGGTATAAAAATTGTTAAAAGGGCAACGTGCTTATTCTTCACACCAGAACCTGAAAACAAGGGTCTGAGAAGCTTGGAGGTTCAGGGGTAATTCCTTTCCTGAGCCCCACTATGAAGTACTGCTGGCTTTCCTCTTTCCTGCTGCTGCTGACAGGGGGAAGGTCACTGGCACATCAGCTTGGTGGTCTCTAAGGAGGTGGTCTCTAATCAACCCATGCCCAGTTGTGGGCATGAAAGCTTCTCCTAAGGTCATTTACACTTATCTCTACAGAGTTCAGCATCCTAACCCATGTGCTTCTTTCCCTGGTCACTACCTCACAAAATACTCACGGTTTCATAAACATGTTCCTCTGGTGTGGAAATGCATGATTCAGTTGCCTTTGCTTCATTTTTCTGGAAGACCCCTATCTGGGTACAGTACCCAACATGCTCAGCTCCTGCTGGTGGAGACCCCACACCAGTAAACTCTACTGAGTAATTGTAGAGGTTTGCCACATCCGAAGCCCTGAAATCAATTTTGAAACGTATTAACATAATGAGCTAAGATTTACTAAATGCAACACAGTGCCACACAGGGTTTACTTCCTTCTGAGGGGTTCAGGGTCCTGAGTGTCAGTGTCCAAGTAATTGCAAAAATATGGAGAAAGGAAGTTAGAGCACAGTTTATGGGTAAAAAAAAGGAGACCACACTGGTTACAATCCCAATTGTTGCGCAATGCCAGAAACATGACCATCTGGCAAGGAACACCCCTGGCAAGGCTCACCTACAGTGCCCTATGCCCTCTGCTTTGTTTCCTCATCTTCACACCACTACTGAGGCCTTCGCATCAAGACACCTGGTGCCCCCCATACACTTTTCCATGCTTGCCTGTCTCATATGCCCAAATACGGAGGCTCCTTTATATGCGCCAAGCTGAATATTGGGAATTTATATGTAAAGAGACATCATAGCATTTTAAACTCCTGTGGGATACCACACACACACACACACACACACACACACACAATACTGATAAGACTCGAACTCACCAGGTCTGAAACTGCATTCTGTTCCACTCAAATTTGTGATCTAAGTGTCTAAAGGTTGATGCTGGAAACAGGGGATTGAATTCAGAGTTTGGTGTGCTGATGATGATGATACGTGGGGAATAATAGCCAAATACAACTTCAGGAAACTTGGCCAGATCTTCAGAATCTAAATGTTCTATCCTGAAATGGTCAATAGGAAAGAATGCAATTATTTTCCTAGTTAAAGACTGTATTCATGAGACAGAGACAGAGGAAGAAGCAGCTCCTTGCAAGGATCCTAGATCAGGATCATGCTCTGAGCTGAAGGCAGATGCTTAACCACTGAGCCACCAAGGGGTCCCTAAAAAAATTTCCATCACTACATTGATTTACCCCTTCTCTAAATATAGAACAGTACTTAAATGACTTAAACTCAACTCTTCATATTCGCACTTTGCACTTCATCCACGTTATCCCTTTTCAGGGCTCTCTGGGCTTCACTGAAAGTAACTAAAGAAATGAGCCAAAGTATAAGCTCCCAGGAAACCTGCAGGTCTAGGAGACCGAATACATGCCTTAGTTGTGGGCTTCAGGATCAGATACCAGTAGATTCTCACCCACACTCAAGAACCAGATCAACTGTCACTAGACCTGGGAAGCCATTCCTATCCTGATGCAGCAAGAGACACTAGTTGACAGGAAAACGCTACACAATATAAACAAACATTTTTAGGGCAAATATGCTGTCCAACTCCTCATAACCACTACAGCTCAGCTGGATGGTGATGGGGGCAGGAGATTAACTCCAGACCAGTAACTGGAAGATGCATAGGTACATAATTCAGCATCCTGGGTCTTCAATTTGGCTTCCTTGCAGTATGAATGCAAATACACAAAATGTGTAGTTGCAGCTATAATGCACTTGAGTGAAATTGCTTTAAATTCATACATTAGACAAAAGAAAAATGGTTGGGGAGATCCCTGGGTGGCTCAGCAGTTTAGCCCTTGCCTTCGGTCCAGGGCGTGATCCTGGAGTCCCGGGATAGAGTCCCATGTCAGGCTCCCTGCGGGGAGCCTGCTTCTCCCTCTGCCTGTGTCTCTGCCTCTGTCTCTCAAGAATAAATAAAATCTTTTTCTCTGTCTCTCAAGAATAAATAAAATCTTTTTCTGTCTCTCAAGAATAAATGAAATCTTTGTCTCTCAATAATAAAATCTTTTTCTGTCTCTCAAGAGACAAAAGCCGAAGGCAAGGGCTAAACCACTGAGCCACCCAGGCTGCCCTAAATAAAATCTAAAAAAAAAAAAAAACGGGCGCTCCTATTTTTACAGCTTATCTGTAAATCTGAAAATAAAGCCAATTCTGTCAAAGCAATCTGCTTTACAAATTTAAATTATAAAATTTAGAGAACGCGAAATTTACTGATACTAATTATATACAGCTTCTAATTTATACAGGAAGAATCAGTTTTAATACTTACAATTCAATACATGTCATCAAGTCAAATCCAACCAAACGAGAGTCCTTCTGTACAGCAGAGCCACGATACAAGGTTATAGTCAAATCTAGGTCCCGAGGAACTAGATAATCCCCCACTGATGGGCTCAAATTACTTCTGCAAAAAACATAGAAGGGATCTTTCAATACTAATCTATTAAGAATCTCACCAGCTGTAGAATTCTAATAATTATCTAAATCAGTTTTCCATGTATTAAGCTCCAGGTCACAGGGTAACTTCCTCATAGATTACTGGTCAGACTAAAGAGCTGGTCCTGCTTAAATTAAAAGGCCTGGGACAATGTCTTAAGTTCTCTTAGTGTCCAACATTAAAGATTTTGCCATTTGAAAATCTGCAGTGCTTTGGCTGTTGTAATTAACTGAGGCTATGCTTTCTCCACTGGTCAGAAAAACTTATTCTCCATATTATGATAAAGTCATTCGGGTGCACTTGAAGCTATCAGGGTGCCAATCTTCTAAACCAAGCTGTATGGACACTTCCTCACACTGCCACTAATTTCAAATTATGCACAGAAACTTGATATTACATTTCCCATTGAGAGGTACTGCCAGCGTAAGTATCTACTCCAACAAGATGTTCAATGCAATGATGGTATTTTAGCATCCATATAAGTGTGGCATCTCCAAAGCCCAAGTCTGCAACCTACAGATGAAACAGAACATTGAAATAGAAGTCAAGTGACCAAAATTTTCAAGTGGTTGAGAATTACCATATAAACCATTATGTCAAGATCTTTAGGTAGAACAAAATTAACCTGAAACCTAACAGGCGAGGGGTGGGCAGGGAGTAAATTGTGTTTTTGGCACCCAGAACCCACATGGAAGGTATCCTATAAAATGCTAAGTGTGCACACCAAACATCAGACAGATCTGATCTTGAACAGCGTTTTAGGGATTTATTTATTTATTCAGTGTTAATATAAATGTACATTAAGGGGATTAGATTATTAAATGGATCTTAATTATGCAAGAAGTCTGCATTCACCACAGCAAAATCACCTACTAAATTATGGATTTCCACTTTAGGAGAATACTTTAATGGCACCCAATCCCAAAGATAGATAACCCAAATCAGCTTCTAGGGTAACTAAATGGCTTTTAAGGGGGAATCCAGGGATTTAATACTCAAGACAAGATTCCATATAATATTATCTTAAAAAGCAACGTGTTAAATCTGATTCAATTCTATCAGGAAACCAAAGTATTACAGCACTAATTCCCATGTGAAAAAAAAAAGGGACTAACTCTCCCTTAGCAATAAGGTATATTCGATCTATTCAATCCAATTTTTCCTCAAACCTGTTTCACCAAAGAACCTTTACCTTCAATATTTTAGGTAAGCCTTGCAATCTACCACAATATTGCACTCAGTAAAGGATTTCTGAAGCAGGCACATTTATGGGACAGTGGGAGAAGGGTTCATAGCATTAAAAAATCTGGTCCAAGAGCAAATTACAGCCTTAGGAAACTTTAAGGATCCCTCCTAGAAAAGGATAACCTCAGCTTAATACATTATACTATCCAAGCACACCACCTTGTATCCCCTGCCAAAAATGTTGTTTGCTCCATTATTGAAAAAAAAGCTTTTTCCTTTCTTGCAACAAGTCTTTAAATAATCTGCTTACTAACTAAATTTTCAGGTTTTTTATGACTCAGTTAAGACAGCCGGAAAGAAATACCTTCTTGGGTTTATGTTGTTGCACTAAATTTTTAACAAAGAAGTATCTCTGTTTATATAGTGGCGGTCTGAACTCAATCACTTCCTTCGTGGGCACTTCTTCACAATTATCAACCATACTGTTGCACTGAAACAAAAAAGAGGTGTTCTAAAATCATCCACAAATTCAGGACTTAAATAAGGAAAAACGAGCTTCACCACTCTCAATACATTGTCCTTTCAGCCACCTGTGTCTGGGGGAAAAAACTCAGTGGTATTTCCTCCAGTTCATATAAGCTCCTCCAGTCTTAAAAGTGAGATTTTGGGATTATACTTCCTAGAGCTAATGCATTTAAAACAGTCTCTAGGCAACTACCAGAGCTTGGAGTTCAAGTAGGCAGGAGAATGAGACTCCTTGACCAAACTACTCCCAAGCCCTCTGATTAGGCCTTGACCTGGACACCATCAGGCTCAGGCCAGCTTGAAATCTGAGAATGAGACAGCACAAGTAGGGTGCAGGGCTGAGAAAGACTCCCTGCTGAGCAGTGAGCTTAATGCAGGGGTCTGTCCATGGACTCTGGGATCTTGACCTGAGCCAAACATTTGACTGAACCACCCAGGCACCAAGAACCCTTAACCCTTAATGTCAACCAGATCAAATTTGTAACCACCCCTTGAAAATCTGATGGAGCTGTCTTACTGCCTTACCAAGAATCCTGTTAAATCAGTTTAGCAAGAGCCCACTCCCTTGTGGTCTCTTCCATCCACTCAGCCCTTCCGTTTGCTCATTGGCTATGAATCCCCGGCTGTTGAAAATGGAACTGAACACCATCTCTTCCCTACTGAAGACTTAATTTTTTATTAACAAGGCATTTTCCCAGGTGTTCAGTAACCACAGTAGCAAGTAGCTACCAATTAGCACAGAAATACGACCTCGGCACTCCAAGTGTTCACGGGGCTGTTTATCCAGACACTTCTTGGAAACGCAGACTCTCGGGCCTCTCAGGCCACACGCCTCAATCACCATCTTCAGTTAAAAACGGGGGATCCCTGGGTGGTGCAGCGGTTTGGCGCCTGCCTTTGGCCCAGGGCGCGATCCTGGAGACCCGGGATCGAATCCCACGTCGGGCTCCCGGTGCATGGAGCCTGCTTCTCCCTCTGCCTGTGTCTCTGCCTCTCTCTCTCTCTCTCTCTCTGTGTGTGTGTGTGTGTGTGACTATCATAAATAAATAAAAATTAAAAAAAAACTCGGCTGATCCAAAAGCACATTAACACCAGTTGAATACTATGAGCGTATTTAACTCAATCCATCTCACGAATCCCTTTTGATACTCCCACAAGCAGGTTAGGAAAAGAAGCATTACCTCTTTGTTTTCTCCCATTGCTTCCAAGTTTTCAAGTTTTGCTGCAACAAAAAAAGCCGATGTATCCGAGCTCTGGTTCGGCAAGCACTCGCTGTAAATACAAAGTACCACTTTTTAGGCGAGTCTGGACCCCACAGCTGCCTAAATGAGTAAAAAGAGCAAGCTCCCTCCCTTCTCTTTACCTGTCACCATTTAATTAACAGAATTTACTCAACCTAAGCAGGGCTTCAGACAAAACAGGCTCAGAAACCAACAGTCACTTCTCACTAGGACAAACCCAGCTACATACAGTAACCCCCATTCGTCCCCTTTCCGTTAAATTGGATACAAGCTGGACCATGAGTTCAGAGCCCCCAACTTCATTAACTGATTTCTCAAGCGGCTCCAAACGTGCGGCTTCGAAACACCGACCCTGCGACCCCGAGGCGCCCGCTCCCCCGCGGGGGCGCCCGACGCTCGCAGGCGGCCTCCCGCCAGGCCCGCGAGTGCACACCAGGTGAGCGGAACGCGCGTCCGACACCCGCTCAGGCGGGACTTAAAACCTTGGTTCTCAGCCTAAAATGTGGCCCGCACGTCAATCACCAACTCCGGAGCCGCCGCTCGCCCCCCGCGTTACCGCCCACACCCGCGGCCACACCTGAGCCGCCCGCGTTACCCGCCCGCGGCCACACCTGCGCCGGCCACACCCGCGCCGCCCCCTCCCCCGCGGTTCAACCCAAGGCCCGGCCGCCCCGCCCGCGTTACCCACCCACACCCGCGCCGTCCACACCCGCGGCCACACCCGAGCCGCCCCGCGTTACCCGCCCGCGGCCACACCCGCGCCGCCCCCTCCCCCGCGGTTCAACCCAAGGCCGGGCCGCCCCGCCCGCGTTACCCACCCACACCCGCGCCGTCCACACCCGCGGCCACACCTGAGCCGCCCCGCGTTACCCGCCCGCGGCCACACCCGTGCCGCCCCCTCCCCCGCAGCCACGCCGCCCACACGCGGGCCGTCCACACCCGCGGCCCCCCCCGGACCCCCCCACCCCCCCGCCCCGGGCTCTGGCAGCCCCGGTTCCCCAGGTGCGGGGCTTGGAGGCGTCGGTTTCGCGGCTCCTAACGGCCTCCGGCGCGTGCCCCAGGCCATTGCCCAGGCAGCGAGGGCGGGGGGTGGGGCATGCCCGCCGGGTGGGCGCTGGCCGGCGGGCGCAGAGGTCGGCGGGGTGGGGGGGCTCCCCGCCCTCAGCGACGAGCAGAGCGCGGCCCAGCCTTGCCCCGCGTCCAGGGGCGGCACCTCGCCTCCTAACCTGCCGCCTCCCCGAGCCTCAGAACGACCCGCGGGGCCTGGAGGGGACTCGGCGCTCGGTAAGTCTGGTCCAATGACCTCTGAGCTCAGAAGAACGTTCCTTCAGCCCCCAAACCTCCAACTGGTCATTTCCGCGTGCAGGGAGGGCACCTGTGCAGGAAGGGGACCTGTGCAGGAAGGGCAGCCGTGCAGGGAGGGCACCTGTGCAGGGAGGGCAACTGGACCATCTCTCAGAAACATTGCTGCATCTCGTGTCCTTCCCCTGCCAGACGTCCAACTGGACACTTTATAACCACTTATGTCTTTATTGTAGGCGATGGAAGAGTTAGCTTCAGGAGGCCGAGAGGCAAAGCTGCATTCTTTAGGGGAAAAAAATATTTTTAGTCATTTTAAGAGACTCAAAAGCTGGTGCTTATTAATGAATCGATAATCTAATATTCCATAAATTATATATTAGAACTGCACTTTCAAACACTTAATGCCATAATATGCAAAGGACAGTAATAACAGCTTTGGAATATCACAAATAGCTTACTCAATTGGGTATTTTGAGGGGTCTAGTCTCATAGTAAAAAAACATACAACGCAAGGGTCACTGTTTTGAGACATTCCTATTGGCCTGGGGAAACTTTTTTTTTGTTGTTTTTTGTTTTTTAATATATTATTTATTCATGAGAGACAGAGAGGCAGGCTCCTTCCCAGGAGCCTGATGTGGGTCTCGATTCCAAGACCCTGGGATCATGTCGGCCAAAGGCAGAGGCTCAGCCACTGAGCCATCCATCCATCCAGGCGTCCAGAAACAGTAGCTTTAGTAGATTGTCTTCATTAGAGGAATATATTCCTTATTACAGGTGTATCATTTAAACAGAATCTTAAAAGTTAATAAGTGAATTCCACTTCTGGGTATTTTTAGATTAATTCAACAAGGAGGCCATTGTATTGAGGTGGCTCTAATGCTTGGGCAGCCTACACATCAGCAAACCCAAACGTAAGCCTGTAGATGCCTCAAGGTTAAAACATGGAAACCTGAGAATGTCCAGCGGCAGACAGTCCTTCCCAAATAAGGTACCTGTTTAACCAGTAAGCAATCAAATAATTTCCTTGCTTTGCTTTAGCATCTTCCCTATACAAGTCTTCCCTCTAGCTCCTGACAGTGGTTAGGACCTACCCGATCCAAATTGATTTTTGCTCCAATTCCTAAAAATTTCAATATGCTTCAGTTTATCTATTAACAGTATATATGCAAAAGAACCGAAAGCAGAGGCTTAAACAGATATTTGTACACCCGTGTTCATAGCAGTATCATTCAGAGCAGGAAAAGGTAGGAACAATCCAAATGTCCACCAACAGTTGAACAAAAGTGGTATATACATGCAATGAAATATCGTTCAGCCTTTAAAAGGAAATGCTAACATGCTACAGTATAGTTGAACCATGAAGACGTTATGCTAAGTGATAAGCCAGTCACAAAAGGACAAATACTGTAAGGGGCAGAGGGAGGAGGAAAAATAATTTTCAGTGCCACACTTTTCAGGAATATCATAGTTTTAGTCCTGTTCATTGCTTTGAGGTTTTGTTATCTACCTGCAAACTGGGCCCGATCTTGAATTCTTCTAGTTTTCTCCAATAGATATGGAGATTTTCAATTTTCTCCCATCCTTCTGACTTGGGATCAAAATGAACAGAAACCATCCTTTTCCTAAAGCCCTGAGAGCTGAAGCTGGATGAGTTGATGAAAACTCCACTGAAGTCACCACAATAGCTCATAGCTCATGTATGCATAACCTTCATGCCTTGCTATGTGAGCCAAACCAGAAAGGTCACTGGAACACCTGATGATGTCACCAGAGACATTCAAACTGCAACCCAGGAGAATCTGATTACCACTGCCTCTCCTCACTCTAAAGATGCTTCAAGCCCAATATCTAGAAATCTTCTCCACTAACCGCCCTCTGGACCCAGAAACTCAGCTTATAGTCTGTTCATTAAGTTTCGTTTTTCTTTTGTTTCCATAGAAATGCCTCTTAAATTTTTTTTAAGATTTTTTTTTTTTTTTTTGAGAGAAAGAGTGCACAAGCATGACGGTCAGAGGGAGAGGGAAAGATAACCTCAAACAGAATACATTGAGCGTGGACCCTGATGCTGGGCTCCATCCCAGGACCCTGAGATCACCACTTGAGCCAAAAACCAAGAATCGAATGCTCAACCGTCTGAGCCACCCAGGCACCCCTAGAAATGCCTCTTATTAAATCCTGATTGCTTGCACCTCATGTAGGCCTGACTTTGGGAGCTCACCTGAAACACCACCTCCTGAAATGAGGTACAGCTCTTTAACCTAATTGACCTAGTCTCAGGATTAAGAGACTATTCAATGAGATCTGGGAAAAACTACCAACTGAGCTTCTGGATATGAAACTTCTTGAAGAAGTTTCAAAGGTTAGAATTTGAGTAGTAGAATATGTCACCCCAAAGTATACCTCTTGGGCATAAGGGTTGTTTTGAACTGATTATTTCCGGAAACAGAAAACACAGGAGAACCACTGAAAACACAATTGAAATTAGTTTTTTGTAAGGGAAATTTACATTTATAAAGGAAATCGCCATCTGTAATGGTGTCTCCCTCTTTATGCCAGGCAGGGAAAAATTACTAAATCACAAGAAATCTTATAAATGGAGAAGACACTGATTTAAATGTGCAAAACAAACCTTGTCCTTATTTACAGTGCTTTTCCTGATAGCCTCCCATAATTGGCCTCCCCAATACCCCCACTCCAACATCTTTCTTTGTCTATTCTGAAGATGGTATTTAAATGGTGGCTTGGGGGATCCCTGGGTGGCTCAGCGGTTTAGCGCCTGCCTTTGGCCCAGGGTGCGATCCTGGAGTTCTGGGATTGAGTCCCACGTCGGGCTCCCGGTGTGGAGCCTGCTTCTCTCTCTCTCTCATTAATAAATAAATAAATCTTTAAGAAAAAAAATTAAAAAATAAAAATAAAATGGTGGCTTGGGCTTCCTCTGGGATTTACTTGTTCTTCCCAAGTATCTCTCCTGTATACATGAGGTATACATGTTAATAGACTTGTTTATTTTTCATATGTTAATGTCTTTTAATACAGGAGTCTCAGCCAAAAATTCAAAAAGGTAGAGGGAAAATTAGTTTTCCTCTCCTTCAGTATGATACCATTTATATGAGATACCAAAAGTAGTCAAATTCATGGAGTCAGAAGGGTGGTTGCCAGGGGCTGGGCTGGAGGGAGGAACTGGGTGTTAATGGTCAATGAGTACAGAGTTCAGTTTGGGATGATGGATGGTGGTGATGGTTGCACAACAACGTGAATGTACTTAATGCCCCTGAACTATATACTTAAAATGGTAAGTTTTAGCATAACATACAGACTTGTCAAATCAATATCCTTATACAGCTGGAAAAAAATTAAATGTTATGAATATTTTACTACATATTAAAAATATTTAAACTTTTTAAGTTAATAAATGATCTGTACAGGATTCCTGGATTTGGAGTTTTTGCCTTAAGCTGCTAGCTGGATCACTTATGATGTTGAATTCTCATGTCTGACTCCCTCTCCGAATGTGCCTATTTTATCATTTTCCTGGTCTCCTGCTCTTTCAGTGTGAAAATCATCCTTGGCTCTATCCACTTCCACCCTTCCCACATTTGGACAATCGCCAAATCTTGACCTCTTCAAGCTGTCAGTTGCATCTGCTCCTTCCAGTGGCCAGTACCCTTGTTTACCCTTTGTCATCTTGTTTTCATGCCTAATCTTACCTTCCTACACTAGATTGTTAAATCCCACTGAGACCATGCTCTACACCTTCGGAATGAGTTTAAATTGAATAGGCCAAATAAACCTGTCCCCACCCACCATACTCTCTTTTCTCTTTACCCTGTATTATTTTTCTTAAAGATTTTATTTATTAGAAGGGAGCGTGAGCAGGGGGTGTGGTGGTTGGGACAGAGGGAGAGGGAGAGGACGACTCCCTGCTGATGAGGAAGCCCAACATGGGCCTCCATCCCAGGACTCCAAGATCATGACCTGAACCAAGGGCAGACCCTGAGCCACTCAGGCGCCCCTCCCCGGTGTTATTTTTTGCCGTAGCACCTACTGCCATCTGATAACCTATATATTTGTTCATTTGCTTATTGCCTGTTTCCTCCTCTTAGAATATTAGCTACAAGGAACTCAAATTTGTTAGCTCCGGTGTCCAGAGCACTACCCACCTGGTACATCGCAGGCCCTCAGTAAACCTTTCTTAGATAAAGAATTATCATATTTGGTGCCTTTTGTTGTAAAATTCTTTTTATGGTAAAATAAAACATTGGACTTTGGCCAACTGAGAGGAGGTCTCTGGATGGATCTGTGCACATCTGTAACAATGATTTCCATAATTCTAAACAAGTTTGTGTGTGTGCTTTTATGTATGTGACAGAGAAAAAGAGAGATACACACATAGATTATGTTCTCATAATTTTCTACACAATTATACTGATTTTCTTCATAGTTAAAAAATTTTAATATTGATTTGGCTATTACTCTCTAACCTTTCAAAATTTACTTACTCCTCTGAGTGTCAACTTTTCAGCTGAAAAGTGAGAAATAAGATTACCCATTCAAGGGGTGCCTGGGTGGCTTAGTCGGTTAAGTATCTGTCTTTGGCTCAGGTCATGATCCCTGGGTCATGTGGGTCATGATCCCACATCAGCTCCCTTGCAGCAGGGAGCCTGATTTTCCCTCTCCCTCTGCCCCTACCCCCTGCTTGTGCTCTCACAAAATCTTAAAAAAAAAAAAAATTACCCGTTGAATAAATGTACAGTATACCTATTACAGACCAAGTACTGGTTTGAGTGAAAAAGATAGAGGTACTTATGACTTCCAGTCCAGCAGTTGTGGGTGTGTAACAGGAGCACGGGGGTGCAAGGGCAGCTGGCTCCAAGGGTCTCAAACAGATCAGGTTCAGCCACTGGCTGCTGATAAAATCCAGAGGCAGAGAGAGTGGTGGTAAAAGAAGTAAAGAATTTATTTTAGTGAGGCCAACACTAAGAAGACAGTGGACTAACTTCTCAAAGACTGTCTCCAAAGTGCTGAAACTACTTCCAGGTTTATATAAGGAAAATGAAGGACAAAGGTTGGGGGTACATGTAGGTAGGCTAAAAAGGTCAGGCCAATTACTGACCTGGGGTCAATCACTCGGGACCTTAGGGACCCGGGGCAGTCTTTATTCTTGAGGAGTAGTTTCAATTCCCACCAAGGATGCTTTGCACACAGGGTCTTTTGCGTGAGTTAACAGGTAAGCTGGAAACAAAGAACTTAATCAGAAAGTATAGACAGGTCAAAATGGAGGCAGCAGAGGTCCTCCTTCACGTGTCTGCCGTGCAATAAGTGACCAACAGTTATCCTGGATGCCAGATTGAGCCTGATGCTCAAAATAGGATGAAATATTTAGAGGCCTTGAGAGAGATGTGAGGCAGAAACACTTTGCCAACAACTATATCATCGTGTCCAACCAGATGAACACGGCCGAGGTTGACAAAGTGACAGGCAGGTCAACAGGCAGTTCAAAATCTATCGTATCTACAGAGCCGTTCTCAGGAGAGGCGAGTCAGATGACTCCACCCTATCTGGCCAAGGTTGACAGCATTATCTCAAAGAACTTCTGAATGGGGAGGGTCACAGATGTGGAATATTTGTCATAAAACAATTGTGGCACACTCACACACATCCCCGCCAAAATATTTACCGGGTTTCTGTTGCGATCAATTGTGAGGATGGAATTACTAGGTGGAAAAGACTATGGAGGAAGAAGATTGGAAAGGATTAAAAATCAAGCATTCATTCTAAGATACACCAACGTTGAGATGCACAAAGGACATCAAGTAGAAATTATTAGAAAGATAAACTAATGTGCAGCTTACCTCTCAATCACTTTTCAACCAGCTGAAAACACTTTAAAAGATTTTTAAGTAATCTCTACACCCAACATGGAACTCAAATTTACAACCCTGAGACCCAGAGCCGCAGGCTGCATGGACTGAGCCCGCCAGGCACCCCTTAAATTAAAACTTAATAAAACATATCCTAGGAAACTAAAATGTGAGCCATCAGCTTTTCTAGCAAACCATTAATCTCCAGGACATTTCTGAGAATCTGTGCAGTGCCCTCAGCCCTATGTGCCCTGCAGCTACAGGACTTTGTGATGAACTCATTCAAAGCTTCCTAGAGGCATTCCCATTGTCCACAGTTTTTTTTCAACTGGTACCAGGGTAAAATTTATATGCCAGCTTGGCTGGGCCACAGTGCCCAGCAATTATTCTGGACGTTTCCATGAAGGTGTTTTTTGTCTGAAATTAACATCTAAATTGTAGTCTTGCGGTAAAGCGGATAACCCTTTACAATGAGGGTGGGCCTAATCCAATCTGTTGAAGGTTTTAAGAGAATAAAGACTAATCGCCTCCTAGCAAGAAGGAAGTCGGCCAACTAACTGCCTTGGGCTCCAAATACAACTTCACCTGTGTCTCCACCCCGCTGGCCCACCCTGCAGCTTTTGGACCTACCTTCTTCCTCAATAACATAAGCTAAGTCCTTAAAATATATATATATATATATTTATATATCAGACACACATTTGATTCTCTGGAAAACCCTGCCTGATACAGCTTTTGAGTTCTCTCCTGTGTGTTCTCACTTGGGCTGTCAGAAAAAAAAAAAAAAAAACAACGGGCTCTGTGGGACCCAAGAAATTCAGAAAATGTCCCCCACCCACCCTGGCTCCTAGATAAGCAACAACTGCAGCCTGTAGCCCAAGTCAGCTCCAAGGAAAACCACTGGGCACGCCCTTATTGGAATGAGGAACTAAGAGCTTGAGCAACTCCCCCACCCTTCTGGAAATCCCCTAGACCAGCGCATAAAAACCCAGCCGGAAGCCCCCTGGGTCCAGGTCCCTGCCCCGCCTTGTCGGGCACACTTGGGCCCAAGCTCGAGCTTGCTAATAGACCCTCGTGCGCTTGCATCGGTGTCGGCTCCTTGGTGGTTTCTCGGATTCGCAATCTTGGGCACGACATTTAGGGGCTCGTCCGGGATCCGAGAGACCCCAGGACCCCACCCGGAGGGTCCCACGCCTGGTGAGTGCACTCAACTTTCCTCTACCTGTAGCGCGCCGGTTCTGAGCTCCCTGCCCTCCTCCTACCTGCAGGAAGGCCAACCCGTAGAGGGGGACACTGGCTTGGGCGGGCGCCGGCGGCCGGCGCCGGGGGCCTGGGGGGGCGGGGTCCTCACCTGGGGGGAGGGTCGGCTGCCAGCCCATCGGATCACTTTCCGTTGTCCCCGCGGCCGCACTGGGACGTTTGTCTGCGTTCCTATGTCCTTGTTCATCGCCACGGCTGTCTGTGCCTCGGCGTGGACGGGGGTGGGTGGGTACATGGTGGGGCGGACACAACCCCCCCACACTCTTCCGCTCTCCCACTTCTCGGACTTCAGGGAAAGGGCTCAATCCGAGCACGGACATACGGAGAGGGAAATTTCAGACGTATTATCCTACAGGTTCAGGCCGTGATCTTCAGGGACAAACCGGACGCCACCCCGACCAGGTGCCCTACATCCTGGCCTGGCGGGACAGGGTCCAGAATCCCCCTCCTTGGCTAAAACCATTTTTACCCCCAAGCAGGACCTCCCAAGATTCTAGCCCAGCGAAAGGCCGAGAAGGCGACCGACTCTACGACCCAAGCGCCCCTTTATCCGGTCGTGCAGGATTCCTCCCCCGAGGACCTGATCCTCCCGCCGCCCTGCCGAGGCGCCGGGGGCTGCAGACGGGGCGCCCCTCCCTGACGAGTCCCGGAGCGCGGCCGGCCCCGCCCCCGACGAGACCCGAGAGCGACCGAGGTCCTGGCCGTTCTCCAGCAGTGATACATGTAATTGGAGAACCCAAAATGCAAAGTGCTCGGATAACCCGAAAGATCTAGTCGGGCTTTTAGGTGCTGTTGGGAGTAAGTCCGGGGGTCGCTGCACCCGAGGCGGCCCGCCGAGGACCATCCCCTAAAGCTAGGGCTGCGTCGCTCCCACTTACCCGCTAACATCACCTGCGCTGTAGCCCCTCGCGGCTGAAACTAACCCCCACTCACCAAAATCTGACGTGGATAGTTCATAACGCAGCCACGGGAGAAATCTACCCCGATTCTGCTGGCGGTGCTATGACACCCGACCCCCCTTCTCCCCTAATGCTTGCAGGTGGAGCCAAAATCCCAGTAGCAAAGGCCTCACCTTACAATCTGTCAGGCCAGGGGCCCTGCCTAGGCCTCCAGGCCACTAACGGGTCCTGTGCGACGGCAGGCGGCCTATACACAGGACCAGTGTCATTACCACCCCAAGACAGCTGGGGCCTGCTCTGGGGATTAACTCCCTGCGCTCAGGGACAGGTTATGAACAGAACTGGGGGCTTCTGCGTGCTGGTTCAACTACTCCCTAGAATCATCTACGAGCAGGTACTTCAATGGATGGACCTCCCATGGGCAAAATAAACGAGAGCCTATCTCTGCTGTCACCACCGCCACCCTACTAGGAATTGGTTTGGCTGGCACAGGAACAGGTATTGCCTCACTGGCCACCCATGCTTCCCACCAAAGTAACCTTGGGGCTGCCATTGACATAGAAATAGAGCATAGAGACCTCCACTTCCCACCTCCCAAGAATCCCTAACATCTTTATCTGAAGTGGTGCTCCAAAACAGGAAGGGCTTAGACCTAGTTTTTCTGCAGCAAGGGGGAATCTGCTGCCCTGGACGGAGGGCTGTTTCTGCACTGACCACTCAGGGATCCTCCGAGAATCAATGGCAAAGGTCAGGGAAGGACTGGAGAAGAAGGAAAGTGAGAGCAAGAGCAGCAACAGGGGTGGTTCGAATCCTGGTTTGATCATTCCCCCTGGCTAACTACCTTGTTGTCCTCCCTAGCCGGCCCACTTATCATCCTCCTCCTGACCTTTGACCCGGCTTCATTAATAAACTAGTGGCTTTTGTCAGGGACGGGGTTAACCCCGTTCAACTCATGGTGCTAAGGCAACAAGACCAACCACTGAACTTTCAGGACCCATGATTGGGTCCTGCATTGGGTTCCTCTGAAAAGGGGCGGAACGTGGGACCCAAGAAATTCAGAAAATGTCCCCCACCCGGCTCCTAGATAAGCAACAACTGCGGCCTGTAGCCCAAGTCAGCTCCAAGGAAAACCGCAGAGCACACCCTTATCGGAATGAGGAACTAAGAACTTGAGAAACTCCCCCCACCCCTCTGAAACCCCCTCCCTCCGCCCTGGGGCTATCCGTTAGGGGCGTGGTCTGTGGTCAGAGAAGTGAAGGGCACGCCCTTGGCGGAAGGTCCCTTGATGTGCCCAGAATAACCAGGAGGAAAGTTGTCTCCCTCTATAAGTGTTTTGTATGCTTTTTATTATTTTCTTCTTGGAATACCTATTTTCTCTAACTCATTCTTCAAGATGCAGCTCAAATGTCAAATATCCTGAGAAACTTATTACCCAGGCTGGGGCTCCTTCCTCTGGACTCCAGCAGCACAGCATTCATAGTTATATTGCTATTATCTATTGCTTATATAGATAGATGGGTAGATAGATCCCCTAGGCTGTGAATTCCTTGAGGGCAAGGGCCAGAGAATTTTAACCTTATATCCCAGCTGTGGTGCCTAAAATCCAGAAGGTGTCCAATAAACTTATAACAAACCTTCTCTAGTACTCCAATCCTTAATCTTGCTCTTCAAGTAGATTTTACACTTGTCAGAACCACACTGCTTAGTGTGTTTCATTATGTGATATTTCATAAGGGTAGCTTTCTAAGTGTTTAACTCTTGGGAGACCTGGGTGGCTCAGCGGTTGATCATCTGCCCTCAACCCAGGGCATGATCCTGGGTCTGGGGATCCAGTCCCACATTGGGCTCCGCAAGGAGCCTACTTCTCCCTTTGACTATGTCTCTGCCTCTCTCTGTGTGTCCCTCATGAACAAATATATTTTTTAGAAGTGTTTAACTCTTTAAAGGGCCAGAAAAACTTTCATAAATGTTTACTGATGATCCATTCTGATAGTTACCCTACTTAACAGTGTTGGACACATTGTTGGCCTTCAAGAGATGATTGTTGGTTGGATCATTAAATTATTGAAAGTCTGTTTTATTCTCCTGTTCCTATTGAGTACATAAGCCATTTAAAAGCCACTAAAAATGATAATTTGTAGAAAAATTACAAAGGAATTAAATCTGTCTTTAGGTCTTCACTTTGTCAGTCATTCCTAACATCAGATGGTAGGTGGATCCTGATTAAATTACACCACTTGTCACACATTTTCTCATATCAAAAAAAAAGTTAATGTATTTAAAAGGAGTTTAAAATGCTGCCAAAGCAGTACTGTCAGAAACCATTAATCTTTAGCTATCTACATACTCCAGAGTAAGGAAAATATTTTACAGGAAAGAATTGTGCCAGCATAGTCATCTAATCTACCTAACCAAGACAAGCTGCATTATAAGGGCAACCTAGGGCACCTGGCTGGCTTGGTCTGTAGAGCATGCAACTCTTGATGTTGGGGTCATTGGGTATAGAGATTGCTTTAAAAAGGGGGGGTGGCAGGCTAAAATTATTCAGCAGTCTATTCACCATTCAAGAAAATAAGATCTGTTACCATTCATCTTCTTTCATGTTACTCTTGTGTTGAAGATGACTTTTCAACAAATGTGTGTTGATTACCAATGCTACATAAAGCACTACCTAGTGCCTTGAGGGTGGGAATAATGTCTTCAACTGCATATTCAGAAAATGTTTATAGGATGAAAGAACACGGGGCCCATGCACTTGTAGGATGTTATCTTCTCTATGAAGCATTCTCTTATCTCTTGATATTACTGAGAAGTTTCTCCCTAGTGTTTCCGTTGACCCTGGTTGGAGAAAAAGATATAAATTATAGTTGATGAAATAGGTACTATGAAAGAGGGAAGTAAAATACCAGTGGGAGCATAGAGGATAATTCATTCTGCCTCAGAGTCGGTCAGAGACACCTACTGAGAACTGGTAGCTTCTCGCTGGGCTGTGTAGGGTGAAATGGGGAAGACCGATTTCCAAAGAAAGGAAATTAATTCAAGTCACAAAGAAATGAATAAGAATGCCTTTTAACAAAAGGATTTCCCCAAAGTGCATTGCACTGAATATTTGAAGATTGCTTATAGGATGAAGACAATTTTTTTTAAGATTTTATTTATTTATTCATGAGAGACAGAGAGAGGCAGACAGGCAGAGGGAGAATCAGGATCCATGCAGGGAGCCTGACGTGGGACTCCATCCCGGGTCTCCAGGATCATGCCCCCGGCAGGAGGCGGTGCTGAACCACTGAGCCACCCAGGGATCCCCTATGAAGACAATTTTTAAACCACATAATTAACATGGAGCCGGTATGAAGGAGAAGTAACATAATATGTAATAGCTGAGGTTAGGTAAATTAGAGGGAGAAAATCTCATTCAGTTTATCCAGTTCCCTTCACTTAATCAGACCAGCCAAGGTCCTGAGAGGGCCTAGCATGTGTTACACAGTCATTTTTTAAAATAAGTTTTGGCGGATCCCTGGGTGGCTCAGCGGTTTGGCACCTGCCTTCAGCCCAGGGCCTGATCCTGGAGTCCTGGGATCGAGTCCCACGTCGGGCTTCCCTGCATGGAGCCTGCTTCTCCCTCTGCCTGTGTCTCTGCCTCTGTGTATATCTCTCATGAATAAATAAATAAAATCTTTAAAAAAATATATTTTGCATTTACTTGTATTTGATAAAGACTTCTTTCTTCTTCCCCCACTAACAGCCATTTGCCATATTTCCACTTGGCTCAGGTAGAACTGGGGAAACCTTTCCCTAAGAGGCTGATTTGGGTATCCACGTAATCAGCTGCTCCTCGGGCACTTCCATACAGTGTAAAATAAAATTCTCACATTGGTAAGAAGATAATTCCCATACAAGTAGTGAGCATGGGACAAAGTTTTATTTAACTTACAGTGAGGGAACCAATGGAATGACAGCTGTGGAAGAAATTATTTGAATAGCGAGTATATAGCGTTAGCAGGGAAAGAATGAAGATTGCTAAGCTAGGTATGGAACTGATTAATATCCTAACGATCAATAAAAACCTAACCTTTGGAGTATCCTTTGTTATCAAGCAGGAAACAACAAATTATCCCTCCTTAACGTTAACCTGTAACTTTTTAGGGTTGCACACTGGGGCTTCTCACTCACAGATAGTACCTCAGATGTCTGTGAGCCAGCTTATACTCTGGCATGATATTAAAAATATCATGCAGGGATCCCTGGGTGGCGCAGCGGTTTGGCGCCTGCCTTTGGCCCA